TGTGGTCCTTTAAAAAAAAAAAAAAAAAAAATGGGGAGGGCATTTTAAATGAGATCCTGCACTACAAAAGGTAAATGTTGTACATTTAATGCAGTTATAACATTTGTAAAGGTTTATCTGTCCCTTTGTAATCTTTGAACCTTAGGCTTACATAAGTTATAAAGCAGTAATGGCACAAGACGTACAAGAATGGAATACAGTATATAAACATGGTTCTCAATTACAGCTTCTTTAATTTTGAGCCAGTCATTTTTTTTCATTTCCATTTCCGCTAACTGTTCCCATATGGAATTTGGAAATATGGTTCTAGAGCACTTCTGAGGTTATAAACACACTTTGAAGTGATTTATGCACTTAGGTTTATGTTGTCTGTGTCCTTTGTGCTGACAGCTCTTTCAGCAGGAGACAGGATGTGAATGTAATATTGGGAATACTTGCTTGCTTCCAGCACTAATGATCTTGCTTTGCTTGTGGTGTGAAGCTACTCACAGGTGGAATAATCTCATTGTTTTAAGATGCTTGATGTTAGAAAATGATGAAATGAAAGAGGTGACGTATTTGAGTTTGGTAGAGTGTGCTACCAGGTATCTCAAGTAGAGATCAGAATATGTGAGTTGAATCTGAAATAATGAAATGCCAGTGCATTTTAATTTTTAATCTCTAATATTAACAAATTATAAGCACACCCACCGGGGTGTTGAACATCCCAGTTTTATATTTTAGATAATTCTTAGGCAACCTGTTCCATGCTGTTGTGTACATATGACACTTTTCACTAACAATGATTTGGATGCATAACTGCAGATAGAGGTCAGTGTTGTCCTGTTTTTCACAGTTGTAGAGTCTGTGTGAAATGGCCTTTGGGATGAATCCAAAATTTCAAGAATCTGTCTTAATGACAGATTAAGCTCAGAATTCATTTAGTTACATTTGAGCCACTTCAAAGAGGAGTTTATTCTGTCCATCACTGTGTATTTTGGCATTAACTGCGGGGTTTCAAAATTCCAATTAGCATTGGGTGCCGACCTGTTCTCCAAATGCAAAATGGTTTCATGAATGACTTCCATCAGTGGAAGATGGGGGGAAAAAATGAAAACAAACCCATGAAAATAAGTTGTAGCTATGATACAAATTTGTTCTCGACAAATAAAGTGAGTCCTGCTTCATGGCTAGCAGACGAAATACAAAAAATGGAGGATCGCTGATGCAAACCCGCCTCTAGTGCTTTTGTGTACTTTAAGATCAGTCACGGCACACCTGGTTATACACCAAGCACATTGTAATGCCTCCCCTCTTTGTTTTCTTATATACAAGTTTGAATCTCTAAGTCTTGTTTGTGAAACGGTTTAATTTTCATCCGTTTATACCAAATACTCGTGTCGGCAATGGCACTGTCTGTGCTAAGGTAACAAGTGGGGCTCTTCCCAGCATGCACACTCTCTGCCACGCCAAAAGACCAGTCCTCTGCTGTGACAGAGTTATCCACTGTCTGGATTTCAGAAGGGGAGGCAATATCACTTTTGTAACACGCTCAGTGCACTGAGCCTTGTTGCTCTGACACCTAGAACTTGTATGATCAACAGATTCATACCACCTAGATACAGAGCAGCTAACCACTGGGAAAGAATAACAGTATTTTCTCCATTTTAGTATCTATGCAATAATAGCACCTTTGTTTCTCCATTGTACAGAAGTGCATGTATTGTAAAATGTTTCGGTTTAGCAGTCTTCACCAATAGTGCAACCTTGCTGTCGGCCAAGGGTTTGTTTCTGTAGAATGGATTAAAGAAAACAACTGGTTGGGTTTGACAACTTCAGAAAGGTTAGAAATTTGGTCTGGTATGTTAGGAAACAAGCTTAAGCAATATAATGGAAAGATCTGTCCGTCTTGCAACACACCAGACTTATTCCACATTTAACAGGAAATTAATGAGTAAGGAAGTGTAAGCAGCTGTTCAATGTCTGCCTTCCTGAAGCCTACTTCTTAATTTCTCTCAGAAATAGCTGACACTCATTCTGACTCTGTCAAGGTGGGTGTGAGAGAATGATTTCAAAACTTTAGCCCTGCAACTTTTTATAAAACCAGTTCCAAAAGTTGTAAAGCAAATGTGGAAATGAGAGAGCTATGTGAAATTGTAGCTCAGTTCTGTTTAGAAATTAATGTTGAGGGAAAGATTTGAAGGTTGTCTCTCAAAAGTCTATATTACGGTTCACAAACGTTGTAGCTAATTGTTGCAACTCTTTGAAATATGAGCACAGTTCACCTGATTTAGATGAAGAAGTGCAATGTCTTCAGTTCTGTTATACTGTATGATTATTGGTTTGTTTGTTTTTTTAATGGATCTGGTAAATTATATTAACGAATGATGATTAATGCATAACATTGTGTAGTGTTACATTTGTTGCCAGCCACATAAATAGACTTGATTTTAGAAAAAATCAGAAGCATTCAGTTCAGTTTAATTATTCCATTTAGACTGTCTTAATTTTTACATCTCTTCTGTATGCCATATCTGAGATTCTAAATAAAGGTATTTTTGAAAATGTTCTTTCAATGTCTTTGTTTAAAATATGTAAAGCAAAAGGGTAGAAATTACAGTGATGCCTGTAATTAAAATTGAAGAGGGGAAGCAGAAAAATAACTTTAGATTTAAAGTTTGCTTAAGTACCCTTTTGGATTATTTGATTAAATAAACCCTCAAGAATCAATTCACAAGAGTTAATCTATTAACAATTTATGTTATTACTACAAATTATAAACTGTCCAAGTTAAGATTAACACTGAAACATTATTTGTCAATGAATTGACATTGACAAAGGTACCAGATATTTTTGGTACTTTAGTTTGTTTTCCCATTTCCATGTTGAAAATCCTATGTGAGAACCTTACTTCTGTTATGGAAAAACAAAACATTCATCCAAAACACCTTGTCTCAACAGTACCAAACAGGACCACGCTGTTTTTTAAAAACAAAATGGCTTTGTAAATAGTGCTTGTGGGCAGCACATATTTTAGATGTGCTCAAGGTGTACATATTACAGTGTCTGTACCATAATTTTTGAAACTGCTGTTTACGAATTATAGAATTATCTCTGGCTTACTTCAGCCTCATTGAATTTACCTGCATAGATGTTCTGAAAACAGTTCATAGCGTTTAGTCAGTAGAGGTAAGAAGAGATAGCACTGACAAAAACCTATTCTACTCATATCTATAATGCAATTTTTTTTGTTGAAACTTAAAAGCACTGTATCGGAGCTCGCTTAATACCCTTACCAGCAGGAAACTGAGAAAATCAGAGCAAACTGAATCAACTAAAACCAAGAGTGAAACTAAATTGCACATTGTGTACAGTGAAAAGAGAGGTTTTAAAGCACATTTTAAATATGCAGAGCTGCAAATTCCCTAATGGATTTGAGTAGGCAGGGCACTGCACACAAGAAGACCCTGTTGACCCTTGAGCAAAAAGAACTGAATCAGCAGACCACAGATTAAGAGTTTATCTGCTCTCGTGCAACAAGTTCTTAAGATAACCTAGATCCAGAACATTCAGTGTCTTATAAATATGTATACAAAAGACATTCAGCATGAGATCGATATTTTTTGTTTTGTGCTAGCAATGAATAACTCATCTGCCCCTTTTTTTTAAATGAAGAAGAAGCTGTAGTAAACAGTTCAATAATGAAATTTGCCCTTTCAATGTATTGAACTTAATACTTGTACTACTTAAATCCACAGAAATCACACATAAAGGAATTTTGTGATTGTGAAAGGGTTTACCTGCAAAATGTTGGCATAACCATCTTAAATATGATGGGGAATCTGAAGGTTTTTACTGAGCATCAACGAAGCTTCCCAAAAACAATTGTACAATGATACTATGTTATTTGAAAAATAAAAATATATGGATTTTGGATATTAAATGTCTTTGTTTCAATTTTTTTAATTGATCATTCGTGACTGACCACTAAATTTTCTTTGGTGCATCAACACTAAATCGTGTGCAAGCGATGAGGTGATTTAACCTGGTGAATGTCAGATCTATCTATAATGAAGACATTATCAAGAGAACAATGCCTTTATAGCTTGTGAATACCAAAGGCCAAACAAAGTCTGAGGTGTTCACAGGAACACTGGACTGCAGTTTCTAACCTAGTTAGACTTTATAGCCAAACTCGTTAAAGATGGACCATGATCTTGGAGACCATGAGTCGTAACACCTCACCATAATCAATGGGGTCCCAGTGTGATGGTCTGGGCAGGAGTGTCCTGTCGCTACACAACTGCAGTTTTAGTGAATGCCATTAACCAGAGTGCACAGTGCTGCTCGGATCTCGTCTTGGGACATCCCATTCTGTGACCTCTTCCAGAACATGACAACCGTCCGGCGCAACAACACCTACCCTCGTGCTGCTCGGGGAACAGCAGCTTTTTCTAAAAGGTAAGAGTGGGGCAGTTACGTGGCAGTGGATGCCCTACTGCCCGGTCTCGAGCTCCACTGCCAAGAGCTGGGATGACGTGTGGCATTTAGGGTAGACTGGCCCGTGAACAGGCACTTGTTTGTCCAAGCTGTAGGAGAGGAATCTGCCACAGAATCCCACAAGGCAGCATCTGCAGCCGATACAAAGCGTGAACCAGGACTGATTCACATGTGTTGCTAGCCTAAACTTTCACAGGAAAGCCCTGTTCATACGCGGGAGTTTCATAAACTAATGTCTTGTAATAAAATGTTGAGTGCACCCGCTGCAAAAAAAAAAAAAAGATTTCCATTTTTGTGATAACTTTGTGAATTTGTTGCAGGTACACAAGGCAGGCTTCTTTTCATGCTCAGCATAATTAAATTGTGAAATCAACTAGATGTCAGTGTTGCTCTAAGAAAGCAAAAGTGTGCCTCATTAATTTCAGTTAAGGCATCCAAATAATCTCCAAACGACGTTAAAATGATAAATGTATTATTTGACACTTCTACTCTGCTAAGATTGATCTAATTGCAGATATAGGTATAAATCTGACTTTTCTTTTCAGCTTTTTAGTTTTCTAATCAAGAGGACAACAAAACGAACTAAAAAGGCTTAAGAGAGATTTGTGCGCTGAGAGCTACTCAACGCGCATTAAATGATATCAAAGGACAACAGCAACGTCCTCGATGCACAGTTTTAGCATTAAGTATTGTTTTTAACAGATGTCTCGGGTGGGTAGATTTGATAGCGAGACGCACATAAATCACAAAGATAAGCCCTTTAATCTGCTTCACCTGTTTGACTTTCACCTGTACGGAATAAAACACCAACATACGCCACTATGGCATTTTAAAAATGCGTCCGTAAATATTTTCACATTCACATTTTTGGGGGGTGGGTAACGTAACTGCACATCACAAGCGAAGGGTGAGGGTTTCATGATCGGCGGGCACCTCGATAGGTTTTCCCACGCCAATGATGAACTAATGCGGACGGCATTAAAGAAGCTATTCCGATGTGCTGCTGCTTGCGTGTCCCTGTCGGCAGACGGGTCTGACTGCAGCCCATTGAGTGACTGGAGAGGACTTTTTTTTTTTGGCTAAACTCCTGCCCCAGGTGTTGCTGTTTGATCCCTACCGGTCTCCGTACTGGAATTTCAAGTGCATGACGTCACTCCCGCTGCCAACAAGAAAGTTCGCAAGTCCTGGGCAGAACTTTTTTTTTTCCCTCCCTTAGAGAAAGAGGGGGGATTTAACTCCAAATTCGCGGTGTCTCAACTACGGCTAAATAAAGTCTTACGTAACGCTCTCCTGTGTGCCTTTTTCTAATGATAAGCGTACGGCCAGCCCCAGGGAACCATGGTAATATAGGCAAAAGCAAAGTCAACGAGCAAGGTTTAGATGGAGGATCGGCAAGGTAAGTAGCTCATTTGAACTCACTTAGCAAAAGGGTTTATGATGCGACAAAGTTTACATTCTTATCTTTGCGGCATTTGCCAGTAAATCCTAGTTAAATTCGCAATATATATATATAATCTTCACTGTTGCCCCGTTTATAGTGGAGTTAAAGTTAGGGGGGAGCATTTTCAAATTCCAGTATTAGCGAACCTGTTGTAACCTGAATACCAGCCTGCGAACACGCAACTTTCAGGTTTGGTGAGAGCTCCTCCGGTCGCAATTATTGTGTTTAGTTTGGGTTTCTTTCATGTTTTTAATCCAGCAGCCCGAGTGAGGCGATATGCTAAATGTGTTGAGCACCAAAGCTCGGGAAAGCGAAATGTGTGTGTGTGTACATATATATGTGTGAATTTCTTTCAATACACCGCTGAACCCTTTCCCCTTGAAGGTTTGTATTGATTCCAGTCAAAAGTTTAACACTTAAATGCACACTTCTGTGTCTAGGTTATGAACAGCTGGTGGTTCATTTTTTTAGGAAGGTGTGAAATATTCTGGAAGTGTTGGTGCGCACATTTTAAAAGGCGACGACTGCTTCTCCCCAGCCTGCGGGAAAAAGTCACAGCTCAGTCTGCAGTCGCTCAAATTTGATCCCTGTGCGTGTATAAATTAGCTGGTATTTCATAGCTTTTCTGTCTAAAAATAACTTGGACAAAAAAAGTCCCCCTAACTCAAACCATACTTCGGCTATGATCGTTTGGACACAGATCAATCCCGTAGGGTTACATAATGACACTTTAATGGCTCCTTTTAAAGCTGTTTTGCTTTTCTATTCAGACTGTTTTATCTAAATAAATACCTTTTAACTTTGTAAAAGTGCAAAAAAAACCTGTTACAATTATTAAAAAATGCAGGGTGTTTTTTAAGGAGCTCCTTTTAAGTTCCAAAATCAAGTAGCGCAGTAAATCGCTGATTTATGCTGCGCTAAAAGGTCGGGGAGGACGGTTGCTTTTGTTACGAGTTCTTAAAGAAAACCAGTCGCTGCTGTGGTGCAAGTGGATGTTTGTGCCGTCCAAATGCGATGTTTTTTTTTTTCTCACGCCTCACGACACTGTCTGGTCCTCAGGTGACGAGTCTTACCGTTGTGTGGGGTGTGGAAGCAGGATTCTGGACACTTTCTACATCAAAGTTCTCCAAGACGTTTGGCACAACTCCTGCTTTCAGTAAGTGCAAGAAGCTGCTGTGCGCAATTGTGACTGATGTTAAAATGCGCCTGGCTTAAAACTCACTGTTTGTCCTGTGCAACTGCAGTCTTCATTTGATTTCACTTTGACCAGTGGTTCAGAGATGCACCTTGACGTTTTGTTTTTGTTACATTATGAGCTGTAGCAAATAAAATAGTTTTTTTTCCGATAACTACGGCTTTCGCAGTTTTCTTTTACTGATTTTTATTATTATTGTGGCAAACCTAGTCATTTTCTTTAGCCGGGCTAAAGCATGCACTGAGCTTTTTTTAGCGCTAGACAGCATATAAAGTCGAAATGTATTTGTACTTATTATATAGGTACAATATGTATTTAAACCGATACCTTTCTTCACACGCCTGTTTCAGTTTTTGAGTCTTTAGAGACTTCTCAGTGTCGTCTTACCGTCTCTTTCCTATGTTGACTTTAAAGCTGTCAGTGGTAATAATAATAATAATTGCTGACACTTATATAGCGCTTTTCTGGACACTCCACTCAAAGCGCTTTACAGGTAATGGGGATCCCCTCCACCACCACCAATGTGCAGCCCCACCTGGATGATGTGACGGCAGCCATAGTGCGCCAGAACTCTCACCACACACCAGCTCTCAGTGGGGAGGAGAGCAGAGTAATGAAGCAATTCATAGATGGGGATTATTAGGAGGCCATGATTGGTAAAGGCCAATTGGAAATTTGGCCAGGACACCGGGGTTACACCCCTACTCTTTTCGAGAAGCGCCCTGGGATTTTTAATGACCACAGAGAGTCAGGACCTCGGTTTTACGTCCGAAGGACAGCGCCTGTTTACAGTATAGTGTCCCCATCACTATACTGGGGCATTAGGACCCACATGGACCGCAGGGTGAGCGCCCCCTGCTGGCCCCACTAACACCTCTTCCAGCAGCAACCTTAGTTTTTCCCAGGAGTCTCCCATCCAGGTACCGACCAGGCTCACACCTGCTTAGCTTCAGTGGGTTGCCAGTTGTGAGTTGCAGGGTGATATGGCTGCTGGCTGTATGCTGTAGTCATACATCTCCAGGGATTTGAATAGGAATTAACTTCTAGGATCTGTCAGTATTGTAGACAGGCATGTGATGCACGAATTTTAACTGTTCATACTTCGGTGAATTCAGTGTTGTTAAGTCCTGGGATCTGTAGAGTGCATTTCATCACACAGGATACCAAAGCACTTCTAACTATAGGAGGGGATCTGCTTGAGTGATGTCTGGCACCAGAGTCCCCCATGCACTGAAGATCAGAAGGAGGAGGTAGTAAGTGTCCCACCAGCTGAATTATTGGGATATTTACTCAGATCGGATTGTGCTGTTGTAGAGTGGAATTTAGCCAGGACACCTGAGGTGATCAGTGCCATGGGATCTTAATTAATGACCCAGTCAGTTTGACATCTAAAGGGACACTGCTGTAGGAGCTGCTTTTACTTCACATCTCCTTACTGGGAGACTGATGTGGAAATTCGGATCCAGAGGGGAGTCACCCACTCTCATCCCGATACTGGCTGGACCCAGCCTCGCTCAGCTTCTGAGATCTGATGAGATCAGGCTACGAGGTGGTAACGCTGTTGCCTTTTATGAAAGATTTCAGCAGTGTGACTTTATAAAATGAGAATTGTTGTGATCAGACGTTACACAAAGGGCTGTCACTATTGTGAGTGTGTTTTGCAGCGTCGAGTTCTTTGTGATGACTAATTCTGAGCCTTCTTGTGTGCATGCCAGTATGGGTGGGGAGAAGCCTTTTGTTATAATTGAGTTTTATTTGAACAGCTCACAGATTGCATACTTAAGAAAATACTGTACATAGTTGTTACTGTAGCTGTAAAGAGTCACGTAAGCAGGTATCCCGCTCTTAAGATCCTATTACACAGGGGAAGTGTTTTTTAATAAAATATACATTTTGCTTTGCATAAATCCTTCCAAAACTTTACTTACAATTTGTTTTCTTAGAAGAAAATCCATGGTGGTTTATAGTATAGAAGAATGACAATGTCTAAGTGCCAGGAACAATAGGGCAGTTGCAGTAAAGTAATTTAATAAAACCGTATTGGGGCTGGAACACACTGCATGAGCAATCCAAGTTCCATGCAAACTTGATGAAATGATGTCAAAACAGTATGCAGGTAGTATGCATACAGGGTAATAATGTAAACACCCTGTAGGTATATATGCTTTGTTTGAAGTGAGTAATCGTAATTAGCAGGTTGCGGCACCAGTTTGGCCGTTCAAGACTTGAGTGCAGTCCAGTGGTGTTCAGGGAGAGCAGAGTGCTGCTTGAACAGGTGAGTCTCGAGCAGACTCTGAAAGGAGGTCAGGCCCTGGGCAGTTCTGCTCTCGGTTCATGGGATTACCTAGGAACAAGGGTGGAGAAGGAAGGAGCTCAGCAGGTAGGAGGGGAGTGGTGATACGGACAGGAGGAGTGGAGAGAGAGGGAGCAGGTATCGGCAGAGATAAGGGGCTGAAGACAGGGCAGGAGCAGAATGGTTGATAGAGCCGAAAGTGAGAACTAATATTTGAATTGGTTGCCCACAGCAATAGAGAACCAGGGAAGGCACTGTTCCTATAAAGATCAGATATACGGAACTCAAAGCATGTCTTGCGTTTTTAAAGGAAAACATTTCTTGCTCTTCGTTTTCAATGAATTGTCATTGGAACTTATTTTTATTTAAGTCCATGTGGTTTCACATGTATCTTATATATATATATAGTGTACTTATCTATCTAGTAATCTGTGTGCATAATTGAAGCAGCCAGTGTAAAGGTCCAGTGGACCCTGTAGAACTGTTTTTGGAGCGATTATGGATTTTGCTGAGCAAAGGGGGTTTGTATCTGTGGTTTCCATGAAAGCTCCACCTTCTTTCATACAGCACATTCGAAATAAAAGATATACTGCATATGTAAATACATCAAATTAAAATAGATTGCACATGAGAGGAGTAAGCAGGTTCGAGTGTGCTTAAGGAGATACCTAAGAAAGGGAGGATCTTATTGTAAATGTCTTTCTTACAGCTGTTCCTACTGCTTGTTTTCAAATACCCGATTCTGGTTAAACTTATGGAATTACTTCATTCAAACTCTCAAAAAAGGGGGAGTGGGGTACGCTGGTAAAAGTTAAGAACAAGTCGTCCCATTTATTACGGTGACCTCTTGTACACCCCAAGTCTGTTTTTTTCTGTTTTGGCAGAAACGTAAGTAAGGGTTTGGCTTGGCTCTCTGGCCCCCTACAAACACCCCACACACACACAAAGAGGATTTTGCTATGCCTCGGGAATCTGTGTGGGAGAGGGCTACACTTTGTACTCCAGCAGCTGCGGAGATCTACAGGTTTAATCATTTGTCGAGCAAAACCACAGAAGCGCTGGAAGCCCGCGGGGTCAGCCTGATTCCCCCTGCAGTTTGCCTGGGGTTCCTGTAAAAAGCATTATTATAAATGAAGAGGCGCCCCTCCCTCAAGCGAGTGTTTTCCAGTAGATGGCAGATGCTGTAATGGGACTTCCTTAGAAAAAATAACAGGTTGCGTTTTTAGTTTTTCATTGGTCATCAGTGTGGATAGTTTTCACTTTGGTAACCATGCCAGCAGGACTTTTTGACCCTCATCGTGCCGGAACTGAGGACAGTGTCCGATGACCTGAGGCTTTTACAATGAAATTTGACTTCTGACAGATCAACCGTAATAAAAAATAATTTCCACATGTAGGAGTTAAAAGGAAACAGTGACCACTTGTCAGCCTGTTGATGAGCTGCTGTTCGTGGGGTGTCAAGTATTGAGAAACTTGGTCAGCCAATGAGACATCCATGGAAAAAAAGCTAATTCTTTCGGCTTTTGGACAACAGTATGTTGAGTAAGAAATAGTGTTTTGTGGGAGGTATAATTGCAAGAACACATGGTTCACTTATTTTATAGTTGTATTTTGTTGATAGCGTCTGATACTCTGCCATTAATTCACGATCTGCGTTTTTGAAATGCATATGTTTGATCAGAGTTTAACACCTCTAAATTTCGTCTTGATAAAATCTTTGTCTTCCTGCCAACACAAGTGTCCTTATGTGACATTTGTGATGGCTCTGTGCAGCTGTAGGCTTCTTCCAGTGCAATGTAAACTATCCTTCAAGCACTGTATACATCTATATGTCAGTCAGCTTTTAAAAAAATCTTTTCAGCCTCGCTACTGTAGTGACTTCTTGCTAAATGCAGCACGGCTCAGAGTTTGTCCATTAGGTGCTTTATGAAAAACAGGTTTTTCCTGAATAGGATAAGTAGCATTTCCATCAAAATCAGGCTCCTGGAGGGAGGGGGAAATAAAATCCTGCTGTTAGCAGAAAACAGTTTTGGAGAGAGATGGAAATACTAAATCTCTGATTCTGCAGTCAAAATTCTGAACAATATGAGATTTGTATGAGGCGGAGAGAGAGCCACAAATGTTTTATGGGCTCTAGTCTTTTGGGGTTTTGCTTTGTTTCATTCGTCATCTACCTTGACTACTTCATTGTTGTTTCTAAGCTAAATTCTAGAATGGTGACGCGATGCTTTTCCAGTTTGCTGATGCCTACCAGTGTGTAGTTCACAAGTACGCTCCACAGCCCTGCTGCATTCCCAGACACAGATTCAGTGTTGTGGGCCCACAGCCTTGTAGACAAGCATAGGCCTGTGTGCGCCTTCTCTGGAAGCCCGGTCCACAACATCACTCTTTGAACTACGTATCATTTTAATAAAATAATATAAATATTCTTGTAATTGTTGAATAGTTATAGAGCTCTCTCGAGCACTGCATATATCAAATTTTGTAGGAGGACTAAACGGGGTCACGTACATTCCTTACATATCCATTACTTATACAAGATACATTTTCTGTGTTTCTTACAGCTTTGCAGATGCTGTGTAAAATGCAGCTCACTTACTGTACAAATCATAAGCTCATAAGTTAAGCAAGATATTGTGCAAATGCATTCACATGTAAAATACTGTGTAGCCCTCTCCTTCTGATCAGCTCTTAATGCATTTAGTATTTTCAGAGTAGTAGCCGTGTAAAAAAAAATAGCAAAACATCAGAGAAACTTGTATTATAGATTTTTTTTTATTCTAATGTGAAATGCTCCTCCCTGGCTGGGTTTCAGCTGTGGTCGTCATCTTAATTTTATCCTACAAACGAGGCTGTCAGCAATTAGCAATTTGGAGCAGCAGAGAGCCTGGCTGGTTGTTGGGGGTATTACTGCAAGTCCTGCATAGTCTACAGACGTGTGACTGGACCAGCCTGCACTTTCCTGCAGTGTGGCTGCTTGCTGTTCTTCAAGCTTGAATGGACTTCTTTACTAAGCAGCAACAATGCAGTTCTTATCCCGTTTGTTACTCACGCCGAGGATGGCAGGAATTTAATTTCAGCACCATCGCTCAACAGCATGAGGAGAGGTACAGCTGTGTAAGGGGAGGATGGGAAATCACGCGCCCTCTCGGTTGCTCTTCCGACGTAAAAGCGAGTTACGGTATGTCGACGCAGTTTTGTGCCAGTCTCTTCTAAGGGGTCTGTGTAAATCATGCGTCTGTTTTCTCACCTGCATTTCACTTCCCGTCATACGTTCACTTGTCTTTAGAATACAAAAGGCTAAGTGAAAGTACAGCTTGTAAAACCAACTCTGCTGCTCCTTTTATTGCTTGAGATGATGACATTCCTAACTAACATGCATGCAGTTCAAAGCTGACTGAAATTTATTACCTGTTAACGGAAACTGAACAGATGTTAAGTCTGTGCTCACGAAACTCGGATGGCTCGCTGCAGCCAATTGTACTGTGAGGGCTCCCTCAGGTGTATCTTAGAAGCACCCAATGTGCTTTGTTGGGTGCTGTTTTATCTGTACAGGATTAAATTCATTATGCACTGTTAAAATCTGGCACCCCATTTGACAAGGACAAGGTCCTGATTGTCTTCACATTTTTGCCACACATCAAAGAAGCACATTTCCTGCAGTGGTACCTGGTGGTTTGCTTACTAGATTAAGTACTGAAGTCGCTATACTGACATTGCTTAGACTAAAGCCAAAAAACTTCACTTTTCCTACTCAGCCACAGAAATAACGAGCATTGATTATATACAGTATGAGCTCTGTTTTCGTCTTCTCATTCAGCAGTTGTCTCTGTAGTATTTGAACAGCTGTGTTGCCTAAAAACCAAGGAAGAAGACCTCTTTTAGTTGTTAATGTAATTTCTTTACAAGTATAATTCAGTTACAATCAAATTCATTTAGTTTAGAGCTAATTTGGCACGTCCCCGGCAGCTACTCTAATGTGACTTATCACCGGTTTCTCTCAAGTCTGCGGACCTCTTTCTTATCAATCTAAAATGAGCGGAAGTAACTTTCAATTGCTTTCACATGACTTGGTTAGAAACTTGGCATCATTCTGTATAAATGTGTTTGTGAACTGCAGTAACTTTTTTTTTTTAAATACATATGTACTTTTCAACCTTGGGCAGAAGGAATTTGTGGTATTGTTTTTTTATTATTATTTTTACGGGGATAAGTGGGTGCAGTAAAGTCCGATAGTCTTTCGGTGAATCATCGATTCAGAATGCTCTCTAAAGTGTAATATAATGGAATTGGCATATTTGTTTTGGCTGATTAGCTGGGGGATCAGCTGTTCTGTCGATGCAGATATATCTCTGTGATCCCCCAAGCTTTGCAACAGCATTGATGCTTGCCAGTAACCAGTGGGGTGACTCATATTGCTGATGACCGAAAACCGAGAGTCACGGTATTCAGAAAAAGGGCTCTCAAGCAAAATGATGACCCTCTTCAGCATCTGTAGTGAAGTGTGTCTGATGTCTCTTAGGCTCTCTGAATGTTTAGCACCTACTGTGGTGTGAAGGACAAAAAACTCAGTATGAAAGTATGGTCAAGCATTTTCCATCCGCTTAGAAAAGCAAGGGTTGTTTGTATGACAGACGGAGAGTTATTTGGCTTTGCCTACCCAGTTTAAATAGCCAAATAGTGTCATTCAGAGCAAGTTCTTAGGTGATCTATTTCTCTTTGGCATCCTGCAGAGATTTCAGCATTTTGTTTTAATCGCTTTAATCGTGCAGGTTGCAGCCATTAAATGCCATGCAATTTCCCAACCCTCGTTAAAATGAAGGGAGTGGACTCTGAGAACCTGTAATTACTCCATGTTCTGTACAATGCTGGATTACAGCCTGTGTTGTTTTGATTGGCTTTGTTTTTCCCATTAAAAAGTCAAGGATGTTAATAAGCACTGTATCACAAGCACAGCATAACAAGGGGACAATGGTTCTACTTCCTGATAGTGCCTGAAAAAGCATTAAAAGAGCGAGCTTTTGTTAATACCGTCTGGTGGTTATAACTCAAAATAAGCCAATGCAAAGATTTAGGAATGGTAACTGCAAATGCATTTTCCATCTTCAAAATAATGTCTAACAGAAGACCACTAGTGTTTAAATGACAGGAAATTAAAGTGATTATGATCATTATGGGAAACTGAAAAGAACAGAGCACAGTTCAGTCAGAGCCCTGTAGTTATGAGGCAGGCCTGTGTTCCATATTAGCAGTAGTGTCAAGACCATACCAAATTCTACAACAGCATACTGTAGACGGTAAAGAAAGATATTTTAAACTTTGCACTTAGTCTAATTATTCCTTTTACTTCTCCAGTCTGTCATAAACACTACAATTAGACAATACTGTATCTCTTTATTTGACAATATTGAGGGTCCGTGTAGTTTTGCAAATGAATAAAGCACTCACTTATAGTTTATGTTCTTTGTAATGTCTTGGCGGCAACAGTTAAGTCTGTCTTTGACACTTTGCAATCTGAGTTTTCTAAAGATTAAGAAAGTTCTTTAGCCTTCTTTCTTTTGCCATACTGCATTGATGTTTAATGCAAATTTTCATTCATTTCCCGGAATAGCACGTTCATTCTCACTGCATGGATTAATTTCTGGTATTTGTGTTGTTTCTTTAATCATTTATATAAAGGCAGTTTGACATCTAGACATGAACTCCAGTATTCTTTGTTTCCGTTGTAAGTATTTTCGAGTGTTACGGCCGTGCAGAGCCTGTGGTTGTGAATATGATGTTTCATTCCCTGATGGTGTTTGCTCTCCTGAAACCAGAGGGGATCTTGTTTGTGTAACATCAGGGGTTATTAATGCTGGTCTTGGAAGCCCACACAGCTGGTTTTTGTTCCTGCCCAGCTCTCAATTACACAATTGAACCCTTAATTAACATAATAACAGGATTCGTTTGAATTGTTTGAGCTGGTTTCAGCTCTTAAACATGCTGGAGCTTGCCTGCTAACTGTTCCGTGTGAAATACAACATCAAATTCCAAACTTGTAAGTAGAAAAATAACAAATATTCAAATATCGCACGTATTCCAATCAAACTATTTTAGTTCCATTAACGCATCAATTAAGTGATTACGTTAATCAGGAATGAAAACCAGTAGGTGTGTGGGCCTACAGGACCAACACAGTTGGTCTGTTTCCACTGATTCTAGGTCTGTACTCTATGAGGATTTAAAATCTTCTAAGACCTGGAGTGAAGGTCACTGATCTAGCTACAAGCCGGCATAATAAATCGATCTACTCTAGCTGCACTGAGGTTTGGGAACTGAGTGCTGCCTGTCCTTTTCTCATGAATGCCTCTGTTTTTGAAAACGTTCTGCTCCTGTGCATGCGCAAGCCTTGCATTATTGTTCTGTGCTTTGCAAATCTCCCAAGCTTACTGCTGGGATCAAGCAAGTTATAACATGTAGGAAGACTGCTGCTCCATTGTATTAAAACAGGTAGAGCACTGTTTTATACAGGCCAGGAGAGGCATTCCTTGAGATTTAAGGAGGTTCGTGCGCAGTATCTCTGAATTATCTCTAGTCTGCCTGGAGGTGTAAATATAGTATGTTCTGTTCTGGGAAAACAGCCTTTTGATTTTTGTTTTTGAAGTCGTGCTGTGACTATTAAATAAACCACCACCTTTGTCTGCACGTTTTTAGAAAACTCTCTTGTTTTGAGCTGGAACAAAACACGATGATAAACATGACCTCATAAAATGGTCACCTTCCTGCTGCTGTGAGCCTACAAAGTTAAATTAGGACTGGGGTTTCAATTGCCTGCTTCAGTTCCATTTAAAACCCACTGAAGACTTGCACCTCTCTGAATTTGTATTCTTGCCCTAACTCCACACCTGCTAGTGCTAGTAATCAGTAACGGGTTGTCAAGTGCGATATTCTGAATCCAAGATGAGGATGATTATGAGGCGTTCAACATCATTACCAGCCTACATGTAGAATCTGCTTCAATTTTTGTTTTATAAAAAATTTAATGGCCTGTTTAGTTTGGAATTTCTTGAAGAGAAGGGCTTCTGGTCTTTTTCTTCTCATTTGTTGTCTGGTTCTGTCCTCAGGTGTTCAGAGTGCTGCGACCACTTGACTAACTGGTACTACGAGAAAGATGGCAAGCTGTACTGCCGCAAGCATTACTGGGAGAACTTCGGAGAGTCCTGTCATGGCTGCTCTCTGCTCATGACTGGCCCAGTCATGGTGAGTTCTCGGGGACATTCCACCAAAGTTCACAGAATGTGAGGTGTGCAAGTATTGGATTGTTTTGCAGGTGCAGAGTTGTATACTGTGAGTTTTTAGGATTCATGAGAAATCACTTATCTTATGTTGATTTTTTTTTTAATTCTCCTCTCATCATGTATATATTATGCAGTTATCGGCACTACTAAGCTGAGTGTCCATAGCAGGTCACTCTGAGAGCTCAGCATGCAATTCCTTCCTTTGGCAGAGACAGCGCTCCTATCTGTTAGGATTGGAAGTAGAATATAGTATATCTTTCACCTTGCTATTCTAACCAGAGGACTCTTCTTCATCAGGAGCCTCATGAGTGATTGTCAAGTGCTTTTCAGCTCAGGAGCACATCAGACCAGTGTGGTTATCTGGCCTGGCTTCGCTAGCCAAGACCATGGTCGAAACGTACTGCAGTCAGTGCTCAAATTTCCAGTCTTCTCGCCACATGGCCCAGCTTTTATTTAAAGAGAAAAAAGAGGTTTGGATAGTTTCCTTTTCCAGGTCTGCAGAGTATGGAAATCATTTCCGCCGCATAGTAACAGGATTTTAGGCTCTTAGTGAAAAATGGCACGAGTGTCTGTTATTAAGGGTATATTAGGAGCCGGCACATTTTAGTTTGCTTGGTCAAATCGATATTTATTCTGCAACATCACATATGACCTCATAATAAAACAATTAATTGTATGGAAAGCGCAGCAACACAGGGATAGGCTGTGGTCTTTCTGTCACTGCAAGAGTATGCAGTAACATGAAGCTGCATTTTAATATGGGAGCTGTCAACATCAATGGCCAATAAAATAGTTTTTGGTCACCAAATAACTGGTATGTCAATCTGCCATTGGCTCGTTGACTTTTTTGTTTAGATCTTTCAAAGGCTTTTGTAAAAATACTGCAATGTCAATAAGAAAACTGAGTTATAAACCTCTCTATTTTTGGCTGCTCATGTGTGTAGTTTTGCCAGATATTTTTGGCAGATTTCTATCGTAATCCGTGACATTTTAAGTTAAGTGGATTTCAGGGAGATTGTATGGACTAGCTGCCTGAAGCTGTTGATAGTGCAGTCATTAAGCACAGTTATAAGACTTTTGTTTGTTTGCCTCATGAAAAGGCTGTTGCATACGCTGTATAAACATTCAGGTGAACAGTTTGTAGTGGCTTAACTAAATTCATTTGCAGGCTAGAAAAGATCCTTTTGGACATTTTTCTGGTGTTATATCACGAATGTGCGATGTACGAGTTCCTTTACCTTGATGATACAGACATCATGAGGCTAATATTGCTGCTCTCCCATTGTCAGATTGTCTCAGCTGTTCTGCAGTGCAGAGTTCCAGAAACTGGCCCTTCTGGATATCTTCTAAATTAGCACCTAATGAGAGAGACATTCGTCTAATACTTTATGCCTTTGAACATTTGCAGCACCGCATTAACGTTTATTATTGTGTTGCTAATAAGCACTTATTTGACAGCAGAATTTGAAATGGTAAATAGTAATTGTGGTGAATTAGTGCAAATGCCTGTTTCTCATTCCATAAAAAGATAGAGACTTGAAACCCCAGATTGACCCTGTGGAATGAGTTAGAAAGCTTTTTTTAGTCAGGAGGTGCTTTGAGAAACTAACCTGACTCAGATGGAAAGGTTAGGGTGATTCTGCTCTCAAAGTATTGATCACTGTTGTTTGAGTAGGTACAATAGATTCTCCAAATGTCTTTTCTGCTAGACATATGCAGAATTAACTTTTTCTGCTGTCTGTGCAGTTGTTGAAGAGTATTATGCTGAGTGCAGTCTGCATGCTCTCTTGTTTTGTGCACAAGAGTGGTTTATGGGGCCTGAGGTGTGATATACATTCCACAGGAATGATGGAAAATGGAAATGTTACAGGGGTACTGAACAAGTATGTGTTACATCAGAGCACATCTGCTGTGCGAGTAGAATTCATATGCAGGAGCACTGATTCACAGGTAATCTAGAAGAGCAGAGAAAACCCACTTCAAAGACTCAGAGACAGACATGAACAAATCTGGCCTCTTTCATTAAAGCCATTCATCAAGCAAGTTCAATTTGCTGAGGCCTTAGTTAAGATGAAACAAATTGCATTTGAGTGAAGACATTTTTTAGGACTTGCTTATTTCGATCAGTACTGCCAATTTAAAGTTTGATGAAATAAAAAAAATGTAGGTAAAACATGTCACTATTACAAGCTGTTGCTTTTAACAAACCTCTGAAATAGTGATGCTTACATTATGGAAAAACAATTGAAGTGGGGAGTATTGTCATTTCCATTATGTAATAATGAAATAATAAGGGGGATAGTGATTCAGTAGGAGTCCTAAAGTATATGTTTGTAGACATCTCATACACAAATCGTATTTCTGCTTTTCCAGTCAAGCTTGGCATCTCTTTAAGGCATGTTTCAAAAAGGTATCCTTAGCCTAAGAACCAGGCAGCTTTGCAGCTTGAGAATGTTAAAGAAAGGTTTTGCTGTTGTTGTCTGGTATGTTAAAGGAGTGTCTGTCTAGATATTGTCAGTAACCTATGCGTATTTTTGAAGCACCCCGCCGAGGTGAGATCATTTACATTTGCTTTTGTAGTCCTTGGCTGCAGACGTTATCGGGATAGAATTTTGTTTTCCTTCCACACTACCTTTGATATCTGGTTCTTCTTGGGTGGAAAACAGTAATTTTATCTTGAGGGTTTTGCCCACGTTCAGCACACAAAAAAAGACCTGGATCCCTCAGGAGATGAAGGGAGGTGCATGTGCCGTAATTTCCAGTCGGGTGAGCAATGAGATGACAGTATGAGAAAATGAAAGGCAGGGCAGGTCCCAGGAAGCAGGGGGGTGTTTTCCTGAGGCCTGATTACCCAAACAAGTGCAGTGCTCCTACCTGCGCAGGCTGTGGCTGCTCCTGTCGCACACAGTCTCCTGGGAAGGGCAGCTACGCAGTAGAATTGGGGTTTGAAATGTCTTCTCACGGAACCTTGCTCTGAAACCCTGTCCGACCCCCTCGACGCCTGTTTTTCTCTTTCCGCTGTGTGCTCAGGCGGCTGGAGAGTACAAATACCATCCCGAGTGCTTCGTCTGTTTGAGCTGCAAGGTGGTGATTGAGGAGCGAGACACGTACGCTCTTGTAGAGCGCTCCAAACTGTACTGGTAAGTGGACCCAAGGACTGGGGGGGGGGGGGGGTCTGCTCGGAAACGTCTGCGGGCGGGGTAGGGGCGATTGTGCTTGTGGGGCAGTGCCAGCAGGAACGCGGGTGGTGGCTAGCGATAGCCCTTTGAAAGCAGCACCGCCGTTACATTGTTCAGAAGCATGCAAGAAAGGATACAGACGAGACAAGGCCATTCAGCCTGTGTGACCCGTTGGGTAGTTGACAGCTAATTGATCTGAGGACCTCCTCCAGCTGGTCCTTGAGAGAGCAGCTTCAGCTGATCTGCTGAGATGGTTTGGTAGCCTGGCCCATCCTCCCACCAGCCTTTGTTTAAAGCCATGATAGTATCCACTTCAAGAATGCGAAAGTGCTGTGGTCATATTCGGAAAATGGAATACCCAACTAGGCAGGGATTTTAGTCCTGGAGTCTTGTGCTTGAGAACTCCTGGCTGCGCCGATACTGATGACTGAAGGTTGACGACACCCTGCCATGTGTTCATTTTCAGCTACTGCCAGTATATGAAACCTATAATTCATGAACCTACTGTGTTAAATACAATACAGCGCAGACAGGATGTCAGAGCTGCATTGTGTGGGAGACCTTGGCAGTGTCCGTCCAGGATTGTAGTTTTGTATATGACTGTTAAGTAGCTCTGTGCACTGGGGACCTTACAAGTTCTCTGGCACCACCAGTGAATATTTTATTTCCTGGGGTGTGTGTGGACATTTACACATCAGCAGGTCCTGTCTGCAGCTGTTTTGCCAGCACTTCCTGTCTTTTGCATAATAAAGGCCTGTTTCGCACTCGGGCAGGGCGCCCCGTGACAGTTTCCCCCCTCTGTCCTCCTTCGCAGCGGGACGTGTCACCAGCAGATTGTTCTGACACCCGTGCTCGAGAAACGCTCCTCCGTCTTGGCCTGCGATTCGTTGCCTCACACCGTCACCCTGATCTCCGTGCCAGCGGCCACCAACGGGAAGAGGGGACTCTCTGTGTCCGTGATCGGAGACTGTTCAGGTGGCACCACCAGTGTACAAGTCAAAGAGTGAGTTTCCCTGAGGAGTGGACATGGGGAAAAACAACTGCACATAGACTAGGCTGCGGCAAAGTAGGATCCTTCTGTGTGTTTACATGATGACATCATAAGCTGTGTGCATTAACTTCCAGTTGATTCCTCAAGGCTATGTGCTGTTTACAGACTGTAGATTTTCTATAGTTTTAATAAAGCATTTAATAACAGTAAAACACGCTCACTGCATGTGCTGACAGAAATCCACATCTCTGTAGAACTTTTTGTTGAAAGCAATTTCAAAATACCAAAAAAACAAACATTGTTTTCATCATGTCTTAAAAATAAATCTCAGTGAGTTCAAGGGACTGTAATTGAGTGTTTCAGCCAGTAATACTAGTGTTAATTCAGCTGTTTAAAGGGATGCATGCTGACTCATATGCAGTAGATTTTCTGATTTCTTTACTGTTTCTTCAAACTGCTTCAGAGTTCTCGGAATGCACATTAGTCCAGAAGTTAGGAATGCCATCCACGCCGGTGACAGGATTTTGGAGATCAATGGAGTCCCAGTGGGAACGCTGATGGAAGAAGAGGTAAATTTCTGCAGGACAATCCAGAGAAAACATTTTCAAAAGGAAAATTTTTGCACATCAGTATTTAGCGGTGCAGATGTGAAAAGCACAAGGAAATGAGTTTCTAAACATTTTGTAATTGATTGCAGATCAACAGGTTACCCAGAGCTTTGGTTGGTTATAATCATAGCCAGTGTTGCCCCTTTGAACCCTCATGTCTGGTCCAATGTGTCACCATAAATTTTCACCACTGAACCCAAGAGACAGAAAAGGCTTTGTTAGGAGCTTGGCTGTTATGTATCTCAGAGTGGCAAATTAATTCCCGGATTTATTTATAATCGATCACGTTCGTCCATAAATTAGCTGTTACTGCTTAGAGGCCTGTATAGGAACCCTACAGCCTTTTTAATCACCTTCTGCAGTTTGGTACTGTGAGAGGAAAACTGTTTTTCCCCCTGAGCTTAAGTACATTTCCAAGAAAATTGAAGTGTTCACAGTTGAAGAAAGTACCTTGGTTGCTAAGCTTCATTGTAATGGACATTTAGTAGCTCGATGCTTGTTTTGTCCATTAACAAGACGTTCCTAAGGCTCTTAAGTGAAAGATGGGTGTGGTGTCCTGTGTTTTGTGAATATCTTGGTTACAAAGACATTCTTTTTGCATTCCATTTGAACTCGATAATAGCAACGAAAATTATGTCCAACCAGAGAGAGTGATGAGCTTCTTTTGAAGTATTGCTTTTTAAGATGCGGTTTTACCTGCATCAGTGCTGGCCTATAAAATCTACACCTGAACAGGTTTTCTGCATCTCTTTTAATACCTTATTTGTTAAAGACCTGGAAGGAGAATGCCCAAGCGATCAGTTAAGTCGGGAGTTGTGAAGTTGGCCTTACCAAGCTGCAGGTTGAAAGTGACTCTCGAACAGCCATTCCTCAAAACAAAAATCTCTTCTTCAATTGAAGTAACTCAGCAGCTGGAAGTCTGCAGTTAAAGAGTTAAAGGTCACTGGAAGGTCTGCAGCACTGTGGATCTTCTTGGCCTAACCTGCAGTCTTTTCAAGTTGCTCTTCTTGTGGTTTCTGGGGTGTGTGTGTAGGTGGAAGACCTAATTCAGAGGACGAACCAGACCCTCCAGCTCGTGATCGAGTATGATCCGGTCAGGCAGCGGCTCGACCGGCTCAGGCTGGGCTCTCCTCGTAGCCGTCTGAGAGTTCCCGGTGCTTCCCGACTGCGGCTGCCCTCCCCCGCGGATCCGGTGCTGGAGAGCAGGGAGACCCTGGAGGACAGCACACTGAAAAGGAGGTCCCTGAGGTACAGGAAAGGACAGGGTGGACTGTTTGTGATTGTGAGGGGTATAAAATTCCACTTAAATGAAACTTGGATTTGGACAGAAATAAAAACTCGCTGGGGAAAAATAGAACTATGTGGTTTGTGAGGTCAGTCGCAACACGGCAGCCTCAGATGTGTCATGTGGAGAGAATCTCCTGGTGAATTAAAAAAGGTTTTGCGAGAGATGTCAAGGTGTGTAATTCATTGACAATGGCACATTCCAGATTGGTTTAATCATGTTAGCCTTGAAAACAAAAACAAAGAACTAGCCTCAAAATTCTTGGGATTCCCCTGAGCATTGTCATTGATCTTCCCAAGGTGAAAGGTTTTACCCAGATAAAGGGCATTCTGGAGCCATAAAATACTTCAGTTTCAGTTTGACTTCTTTCCTTTACTGGCAGTTGTTTTTTGCCAACACTGACAGTTTCAGAATTGACAATTTTGTGTTTTATCCCATTAGTGTTCTCACACTATCCTAGGGGCATTCTGGGCACAGGTGACCCACACTCAAACCTCTGATGATCATCTTCCTTTGCCCGTTGAGGTTTTCAGGAGGCCCTAGTTAACATCCCATTAATGTTCACAATCAAGTAACTTGTCCCCGAGTATCAAGTACAGTTAAAAATACATGTGGGCTTCCTCCTAAAATAACTCATCGTTTCGAGTAACTGAATCTCGTATAGCAGGGGTTGGCAACCTTTTAGAGGGTACATGCCAAGAGGTAGCTCGTACACTTGTTTTAAATGATTTGCATGTTCTTGATATTTTTTTATGTCAATGATGGCTCAAGTTCAAACATTTTCAGCGAAAATTTACTGTGGCGTGGCCACCAAAAGCTTTCAGTGGGTAGCATGTTGTGCATGCTTTTTTTTAGACTTCGTGTTAGAACATCGTTCTGATCATTTGTTACTTAATTTCTTGGTGGCTTATTAGACTTTTTACTGCACATGCTGTTAAAGATCCCTCTGCAAGACAATAACGGCACACGTGCCTCAGCTTACCAGCCTCTATCTTAGAGATCTTAAGCTCCACAATTACAGGTGTCCAAGTAATTTCTTTAAGGGATCTTTTATAGACCAACGTAGTCATGCTTTTCATTCAATAATGGCTATTTCGTGCTTCACTCGGTATTCCATTTACAGCTGTTCTCCCACTTGTTCTAGGCGCAGTAACAGTATTTGTAAATCCCCTGGCCCTGCATCTCCCAAGGAGTACCCCGGTCTGTTTCGGGACATCAGCCGCTCCGAATCCCTGCGTTCCTCCACCAGCTGCTCCCACCGAATATTCCGGCCCTGCGACCTCATCCACGGCGAAGTGCTGGGAAAGGGCTTCTTCGGACAGGCCATCAAGGTCAGCTACAGCTGCAGCGTTCGCCATTTCCACATGGCATTTCCCTCCTCTCCGGCTAGTCCTGGTGGGTTAACCTGGCTGGTGTCTCCTTTCAGGTTACACATAAGGCAACCGGAGAGGTGATGGTAATGAAGGAGTTAATTCGTTGTGATGAGGAAACCCAGAAAACCTTCCTGAAGGAGGTGAGTTCTTCTGACCCTGCCAAGCCCAAGCAGGACTTTTTTAAATGTGGACTTTCTTCTGCCTTTAAGACCGAGGGTTCACAAGTAAAAAGTAGCCAGTATCTATAATAGGATTTTTAGACCTTGTGTTATTTTAGTAGTAAGTGTGCAAATCTTTAGGAGTCTTTTTTTTGCAAAAGTTTTTCTTCATTTGACTGAATAGATTGGATCTTGGCGTGTGTGGACAGACGATGTTCTAACAAACATGGAGGAACAAGCTTAGACAAATTCTCCTTTGTCTCTTCCCCCAGGTGAAAGTTATGCGGAGTTTGGAACACCCTAACGTCTTAAAGTTTATTGGAGTGCTATATAAGGACAAAAGATTGAATTTAATAACGGAGTTTATAGAGGGGGGGACGCTCAAGGATTTCATCAGAGACATGGTATGTACAGAAGATAATTTGTTGTCATGCTCCCTCTCACCAGAATAGTACCCTTTTTCACTTTCCAGGATAAATACAGTAGTTTTACAGTAAGGATAGTTTCTGCTTAGTAGGTCACCTCCAAAACATTCTGCATAAATTGGAGCTTAAGGGCTAGGGATTGTCTGTATACTCAATGGGAGAGGACACCTAACAAGACAATGCAGTAAAACCTGTTCCAATACAATACACAGTTTAGAAAGATCCTCCCCCAATCTATCAGATTGCTAATGTTTTGTGGATACCAATGCAGTGTCATGCAAATGTAGAACACTCATACAGTCCTACGTTATCTCAAGCAATCATTTGCACATTGTATAGCTGCGACTATTCTCCTCTTACCCTACATGTGTTTGTAAAATCTGTGAAATGTAAATGTAAAGAAAACATTGCCATTAACTGGACATTCAAGACAGGCTGGGTCATCTCTGCTCCTGGAGCTGAAATAACCGATCTTGTAGGTCTCGTTAAGTTTGTAAATTGGTCCAGTTAACCCAGTAATAAGTCAATTTGTTCTTAGCCGAGCTGGACAGAGAGCCTGTAGGCTCATTGTCCTCCAGGACAGGAGCTGGGCCACCCTTGTGTAGGCTGTTGTGAAATGACAGTAGTTGATAGCTGTGCCTGTGTCTGGAATTTTGTGTTTACGGGGGCTGAAGTAACACCCATTTCCTCCAGAGGTGGAGTTTATCTTGGGAAAGATTTGGAAGATGAAAGAAACCCCTTTCAATTCTCAAGTTTGTTTTTTCCCCCCCTTTAAAATGACAGGATCCGTTCCCATGGGAGCAGAGAGTTAGTTTCGCCAAAGGCATCGCTTCTGGGATGGTTAGTATTGTGCCTTTTTTTGTGTTGCACTTTGGACATCCTTTTTAAACTCATAACCTGACAGGATTGTAATGTTTTTTGTTATTCTGTAAGGGATTGACAGTGGAGCTACTAATATTGCAGTAGGTTGCACAGCATTTTTTTTTTTAAATTCACGACTTTAATAATGCCTAAAAATTTACAAAGAAATAATTGCTTTGCTGCACTCAACATAATATGAAGTTTTACATTAAATTAAGACTTCTAAGCCTCAGTGCCCAGTTTTAATTTGCTAGTCTGTTTTGGAATATTTGTAAAGTACTAGAAATTTCCTGTGTTTTTTTTTTACTTTACTCTCAAGTATCTCATCTTATTCGCACACCAAAGAGCCAGTGGAGTGTGAACACTGCAGCATGGCCTGGAAAGCTCTGCTGGTCTCCAAGGAAACACACTTCATCTTGATAGCCATGTTGTACTCGGTGTTTATTCATCTGTTGGGCTACACTGGCTGCTTTCAGCACAAGACGGGCACGGTCTTCATGTTGAAGTGCTTCGGCAGGAGCTACATGATGGACTTTCAGTGCAAAGGACAAATGTTTGCATTTCCAAACGGAAAACAGATTAGGGGTTTGATGTGTCACACCCCATCCCTCTGAACTGCTCCGTTATAAACCTTTGAGATGTCTTTTTCTCAGATGTGGTGCTGATGAAACTGCTCGCTTTCTCCTTTTGGTGTCATAGCTTCTGATGCAGACACTATCAGGTGAACTGTCATCCTGCTGCAACATAGCAGTGCTCCTGCAGTGTCCAGACATCCATTTACTACCCGCTTTGTCCAGTTCAGGGTCACAGGGGAGCCAGTCCCAGCAAGCAGCGGCACGAGGCGGGGTACATCCTGGAGGGGACACCTGTCCATCACAGGGCAGACACGGACACGCACACACTCACACCTAGGGTCAATTTCTCCAGGACAAGTCTTTGGACTGCGGGAGGAATCCGGAGCACTCGGAAGATACCCCCAGCAACCTGGGGAGGACATATAAATTCCATGCAGACAGTGACCATCCTGCAGTGTCACGGTTATTAAATTTCACCTGGCAGTAATTGGACCGAGAGAATGTTTTGGGATCGGGAAGCCTTTTTGTGTTCACTTGTTGTCATTGTTTGTTACAGGCTTATCTGCACTCAATGAGCATTATCCACAGAGACCTGAACTCGCACAACTGCCTGGTCAAGCTGGTAGGTCCCTCAGGGGCTTCCTGCCCTGTCTTGTGTTGGGGATTTCTGGGTGAAGGACAAGGAAATCCTTTATGGAATTTGCCACATGTTTTTAAAACGTTTTGTTTTTGAGGCACGAGGAAGTAAGGTAGTGAACATTTAGAATGCAAGATGCCAAAAAGATCCCGATACCGAAAGAGAACAGCCATAAGAATATGTAAATAGGATGAGCTGAAAAAAGAGAAGTGGTTTAAAACAGGATTCCCTTGCTGAGTGCCCATTGCACCATAGCATAGACAAACACACAGGAATCCCGGAAATGTATTTATGAACAGAAATGAAATTATTATTCCTCCTTTCGCTCATATAGCACTTTTCTGGACACTCCACTCAAAGTGCTTTACAGGTAATGGGGATCCCCTCCACCACCACCAGTGTGCAGCCCCACCTAGATGATGTGACGGCAGCCATAGTGCTCCAGTACGCTCACCACACACCAGCTCTCAGGGGGGAGGAGAGTAGAGTGATGAAGCCAGTTCAGAGATGGGGATTATTAGGAGGCCATAATTAGTAAAGGCCAATGGGAATTTGCCCTTTTTTTACAGTATAGTGTCCCCGTCACTATACTGGGGCACAAGGACCCACACAGACTGTAGGGTGAGCGCCCCCTATTGGTCCCACTATCACCACTTCCAGTAGTTATCTTAGCTTTCCCAGGAGGTCGCCCCTCCAGTTACTTCTGAGCTTCAGTAGGCTTCAGTTGTGAGTTGCAGAGAGATTTGGCAAATTAAATTGCTTCTACTGTTTTTTGTGTGATACTTTTTCCTCGATGTCTAGGCGTGTTTTTCAGCGCGACAATCCGCCGTCTCAGCAGGCGTGGTCCAAGTTCAAAAATCTCAATGACGGCCTCTTTTTTTTTTCGTCCTCCCGCTCAGGACAACACCGTGGTGGTGGCGGACTTCGGCCTTTCCCGTCTGATCGTGGAGGAAAAGAGCCGGGCTCCTCCGGAGAAGCAGTCGGCGAAGAAGCGGACGTTCAGGCGGATCGATCGCAAGAAGCGCTACACCGTGGTGGGGAACCCATACTGGATGGCGCCGGAGATGCTGAACGGTGAGCGGCAAGGCTTTCATTTCTCGCTCCGTCACGTTTGTTTGATGGCCGCGCTCTTCCTGGGTCGTCATAAAGGTTGGTTATGGACCAGCAGTCTTGGAATGGCCCAGTGTTTTCTTTTTCTCTGCCATCTTGGAACTTAACTTTGGACTTTTTTTTTCTCTTGACGCTGTTTTTCAGGTAAACGATATGACGAGAGGGTGGATATTTTCTCTTTTGGGATCGTGCTCTGCGAGGTATGACCCAGATTTCTACGTCTTATTTTGACTATAGGTCTTTCTCAGTTTAATGTTTGCAGCAGTGCAGTAGGCACTGGATCACAGTTTGAAACAGTGTCAGGAATTAATCCATTTCTTTAATAAATACAAGAGTTTTATTATGTTCAATAAATATTAAACCTGTGTGGTATTTGTCAAGGATGTCTTTTCAGCTTGTATTAAACTAACAAATCTTGTGCGTTCTACCAGGGATTACTTGTATATCTTGCACATTCCCATAAGTCTGAATGTGCTATATGTACACAGATTATTCCTCCCTTGGGATATTTTAAATTGTGTCCTACAGCTTTCAGAAAAATGTCTCACCCTAGCCCCACAGGTGCTTTGCGGATGGCTTTCGGATGAAACCGATGTACAACATGCTGAAGTGTTTCAGTAATTCCTGTCAGATGCCTTTGTGACCCCAAATGTGACCAGCAGTCCCCGTTGGTTTCATCACTACGAATATTTTCATTGCTGAGGGGCTATTAGCATCCACAGAGTGGCTGGCGGCTCAGTGCAACCATGACAGATTAATTCAAGAAACTCTTAACTCCAGAGCACGGAAGTTTCTAAATGTATGGAGGTAATGACACGCGCAAATATCCTGTTTTAAGATTATTGGGCAGGTGTATGCTGACCCAGAATGCCTGCCCAGAACTTTGGATTTTGGACTCAATGTGAGGAAGTTCCTGGAGAAGTTTCTTCCTGAGGATTGCCCCTCGGCCTTCTTCCCACTGGCTGTAGCTTGCTGTGATCTCGTGCCTGAAAACAGGTGGGTTTCTCTCTTCGTGGCGGAGTTATTTCTGCGTTGCACTCTTCCCTGTGTGGAGAGAAATACGGTCCTGAATGATTCTAGCTTCTTGCCAGCATGGCTCGGAACCGCAGGTTTAAAATCTAAATACTTTTCTCACAGGCAAAACAGTCACTTCTTCCCTTTATAGGCGATGTTTGTTATGGCTGCTGTCTTAACGTATTTAAGCCATAGCCTCTTCTTAATTTTCAGTAAGATCAAGGACTGATTATTCAGATGACACCGTTGTTCTTTTGCTGCCATTTATTGCCACTGATGTCTGGAGGAATATCTTAGCAGGATTGTGGGAACTGTAATGGAAGTGTGGAGGAGCTCTGTACACTGTGAGAGTGTGGGTTAAGGGCTTGGGCACATGCCTTGACAGCAAACCCCCAAGTGCTTAATGTGGGCAAAACCTAAAACCCTGGCCCACTGACACCAGCCATCTTCACTGCTCGATAAACCACAAATGTAGAGGAAAACGAACCAGAGGTCTTCTCCGGCTTTCCAGAGAGACGCGTGTGGAATCCAATTGCCTTCTCTCGCTCCCTGTTTTGTTTTGGACCCAAGCGCTGCTGATTACTTTTCCATGACCGAACCGTTGTGCTCCTCTGCCAACCCTCTCGCGCAGGCCCACCTTCGAGAAGCTGGTGGACTGCTTCGACGCGCTGGCCCTGAACCTGGAGCTGGGCATCCCCCTGCCAGCCGAGCTGGAGGTGCTGCACCACCACCTGTGTGGAGCGCACAGCCCCGTGGGAGCGGACCTGCCGGGGAGCGGGCCCCCGGTTCGGCACCCGGCCAGCGCCAGCCTGGGCGAGAACGGGTCCTAGCTGCCGCCCGCGCCTCTCGGGTTCCGCACGTCGGGGCGCACCGCCCTCCCTGTGAGAGGCCTGCGGAAAAAACGCCCGGCCCAGACTCCATACCAAGTGTCCGTAAGTCCGATGAAATCCCGAGTGTGATAGATTTCTTCAAATGTAGCGTTTTAACAAAAATGTGTAGCCGTTGAGCGATACTGGACTGTTGAAAACGCCGAGGCCAATGAGCATTTCAAGAGCGGCAAGCTGTCTTCTGCGTGATGTACGATTTAATGCACAAGCAGTGTCTCAAATAGCTGCATCTATTAGACAAAACTTAAACGGGACAAACAGTACACTACATTCCTCATTCTGGATTCTGATGCCAGAGAAAACAAATGATTTTCTCTTTAATTCCATCTGTGGGATATTTGACCTGACTTTCAAAGCTTTGATGTGTAAAAGCTTGATTTTTTTTTTCTTTGTGAAGATTTCAGTCTGTTTACTATGTGCCGGACATGCGCTGTCTTAGCTTAGCATAGTGTGATTCCTCCATCACCGTTCATCAGTCTGGTAAAATCTAACTGCTGTTAAGTGCTGCAGTCATGTACACAATATTAAACTTTAACTGAGTTTCCATTGACCATTTAGAAAGATGACCTATTAGAACAGAGCTCAGCAGCAATGGATAAGACTTTCAAGTCAGACAGCTACAGCAAAACAAATCTTTAGGGGAAAAAACTGTAAAAAATTACATTCAGTGCTAACGTAGTATATTACATAATATTATAAGACTACCTGAATGGCACTGTTAACTTATCACTTTTGTAAGATTTCCTTATTTTGAATCTGCTCAGCTTTTTCGGATTGTATTGTATTTCAAAGATGCATAGAATTCAGTCAGTGCTACCAATATTTGGGAGCACTAAGATGGACCGTAAATTTCATCCAGCCCCTGTCTTGGAAGCAGCAATCTGCTGAATCAAAAAAGGTACGATATCCCCCTTTCGGACACTACTTAGAACGAAGATTAGCACAAATGTGTTAACGAGACAGTTTCACGGTTGAAATTTTGAATGTATAGTGATTGTTTTTTTTTAATGAGACACTCTCATGCGTAACTTAAAATCACAGCCACAGTTCATTCCTAAAAATGATTTGTACAAAAAACTGGATTTATTTTTTTTAAGAGGACTGTAAAATAGAAATATATATATATATGAGTGTTTATATATTCTTTTTTTTGGCCAGGGAGCATGTTACTGATCTTTTTTTTAACGTGCTTTCAAGAAATAAAAACCATTAGACTGCAGAATGTGAAATAATGTGTAAGAGGTTGTGAAATCTGATTTTGATTTGTAATTTTTCTAAGGTACTGACTTGTAAAGAAAGTGTAACCACTACAATATGTAGGATGATAGTGTTGTCCTTGCTAAAGGAGGTGTTGCAATGGAATAAACAATGAAAGTGTTCTGAAACACATCTGAATCTGTGACCTCACTGGGGGATGTATTATTTGAAGGACTAACTAGGGTGCAAGTGAACTGTAGATTAAGTCTTGTAACTGGTCAAGTAGATTCTGACTTGATGAAGGGGTCACCTCTGACCAGGTATCCTGACGGCCTTGTGCTGTGCGAAGGTGGCATTTTCTGTTCCCTTTGAAACGAGCAATGTCTTGCTTGAGCAGAACTTCTAGCTTCTTCAGAAATGCCTTAGTGTGACTCAGCTCCTTACCACAAGGGGGGGCTCATGTTGCAGAGATTAACTACAGTGTGTATGTTGCTCAGCTAAAAAATCAAATGTTATTTGTTTTTCTTATAAAAACCTTTGAAAATAATTTTGGCAAATCAAAGATGGTCTTAACAAGACTTAAATAACAGTTTTTATGTTGTGCAATTGTTCTGTACCGATCATAGGAGATCCACATCACCTGGTTCATTTTGGATCAGAGCCTTGTTAGGGTCCAAGGAGGTAACGTACTGGTAATGATGCAAAAGAGGCAGATGACTATTTTTGAAACCTCTAACCAAGCTGTCTAATTTGATGAGAAAAATTGCCATAAGTAGACTACTTACCATGTTGTGGATCACCCAGTACAAAATGGGGTTCAAGTCTACTTAAAGTTGTTTTTGTTATAATTGAGTGTACTATACTTCTGGGAAGCATGAAACAAGCCACTGTTATAACTATGTCTGAGACTAAGCCTGGAGAAAAAAATGATTTGGTGTTAATTCTGTTTTTAATTAACCCCTCCAACTTCCATTCTTGAATTCTATTTTTCTTATTAAAAAATGTTCCAAAGTAAAGGTGTTGGCAGGAGATTGTGCTACTGTACCTGCCTTAGATCAATTACTCCTAATCTGAAAATAATGTGATGTGTCCATGATGCGTCTTGCAGACTGGCACAGCTCCATACTTGAACCTTACATCCATTTATTAATACTACACTTTCGCTGCCGCCATCGACAAACTGAAATTTGTACTTTTTTTGCCAAAAAGAAAATGCTTTAACAAGTTTTGGAAGCCCCCACTCAAGAACAGGATGCATGTGACCCGAGATGGCGGTGTGCCGTCATTGTGACATCAGGGCAGAAGCTTGGGAGCTCCCTGTGGAGATGTACCTGCTGCAGATCCTTCTGGCACAACCGGAAGCGGGCGTTTTTTATTCCGAAAGGCGGTGAGCATGGAAGTGCAGTAGTAACCTCCCAGGGAAAAAAAGGGTGATGCTGACCGTTGTATCACTCTTGCACAGCACTGTACACCGCCCAGCTTGTGTTTAAGTGAGAAAGTCTCTATACAATGAAATAGTTCAGGTGAGGAGCTGTGTCAGCATGCGTAGGCTGCAAAGGAACAAGCAATAGGTTTATTCCATGCTGAAAAGAGAAGAAAGACAACACAATGTTTCGGGTGGCCCGAAGAAGGCTCCACAGCCGAAACATTGTTTTTTCTTCCTTCTCTTTTCAGCATGGCATAAACCTTTAACTGGTTCCTTTGTATTGCTATACAATGTCAGAAATGGTGAGAGGAAAGCATCACAGTAAAGCTCAGAAGAAAAGATCACCTCCGTTAAAGCCGACGCAGTGAAACCTCAGTGTCTACCTCCGGAAGAGACCATTCTTCTCCTGAACAGTCCACATTTCATCCTTTTAAAGAAACTAAGGCCATGAGTCCTGCCACAAACAAATCGCGTTTAGGTCATCATCAGAATGCCAAGCTAACAGCTTCAGGAACTCTTCGCTCAGGTTTGTCGTCCTTCTTTTTCTCATACCAGCCCACTCTGATGTTGTTCGTGCTCTCCCGCGTTGAGTGAAAGCCTAGCATTTCCACTTTTCCAGCTAGAGCGGTCGTTCCCAATCCTGTTGGTTTTCATTTCAGCCAAGCCGCTGTTACACAATCAAACCCTTCACTGACCTCGTACTAACGAGATTAATTTGTTCTCAGCTCTTGAACGTGAAGCTTAAACCGTTCTATTCTCTAAGTGAAATAAAATTCCAAACTTGTGACTAGAAACAAAATATAAATATCCCAATTAAGTAGCCTCTTAATTTAAGTCTTAAATAATCTAATTAAAGGGATGGAATGAAAACCAACAGGTAGGTTGGGTCACCAGGACCAGACTGGATCTAGGTATTGCATTGAGCACTAAATTAAAACTCAATTTCAATTAAGTGTGCCTTGAATGTAAGTGTATTGCTGTTTCTCATTTAAATCGTATTCCTGTTTAGGGTAGGGAGGGTTGATTTGTTTCATGTGGCCCAGGACCAAAAATTGTCAGAAATGTCTTAAAATATCTGATCAGGAACGGGAACCAGGACTGAGATGAATGGAAGATTCCTTGAGAAAACAAGTCTGAAGGCAGTTTTTAATTTCTGCACATTTATTTTTTTTTTCTTAGCAGTAAAACACTGCCAAATATACAAATGCAAGTACTGAGGTATATTTTAAACATTAAACAAATAAGTGACAGTATGTACTGTACTAGCAGTACAGTAAAGGTTCAGTTTTTCCAGGACAGAATGAGGGGATAGTTGTAGATAGTTCAAGAAGCTTGCGCTTGTAAGATTCACAAAGAAAAAAAGTCCTTTTCCTGGTAAATAATAATCTCCACAGAAAACAGTCTGTGGTATAGTCTCTCTTACCGTACATGCCCTACAATAATGTGCAAAAAGAAAATCTTTGGATGATGAATATTAGACGAAGAAAATACACTTCCTGAAGAACATTGGGTTTATAAACAATGGGGGAATAAATCAAGGTATCGCATTTGGAAATTGCATTTAATTTTTATTAATTTAACTTCAGTTATAAAATATCTAGTAATAGTACCCCATGCTGATTGCATACAGCTGTTTCACAGAGCTAGGGTGGGAGATGTAGGTCACTTCAGTTTAAGCTACACATTTCACTTGACGTGACTTTTTTTTTTTAAATCTTCCCCCAAACTGTTTGCCCTGAGCTCCCCCATATAATCTTGTCCTTCTAATGTCATGTCATGCTCCAGTGGAACTGAGCATTAACTAAATTACAAAAGGCACAGCCTGGCTTGTTCTATTTTGTGGTGAGTATGGCCTCCCTGACCTCTTTTACTCTGCCCCACAGTTACTCTGTGCAGCCCTGTGGCAGATGGCCACGATTCTGAGCCGCAACGTTTATGTTGCTTTGTCAATTTCTCAAACTTTTCACAAAATGTCAGCTACACCACATCATAATGGACCAGTCCATTCTTCTGTGAACCAACAACCACTGCTTCCTCGCTGAAATGACTAGCATAAGTGGAAAGGTGAAGAAGGGCACTTTGTCAAGATACAAATAAAAAGATGGTTGCTCCATGAAACACATACATCCAGGTATCCAAAAACCTGGAACTATGCACAATGAGAATATAAAATACTGTAATTTCCTGGCTGCACTTGCTGCAGCTTTAAGAGTGTCTGCGGGCTGATTTTTAAATCTTTTTTTTGTTCCATTTTGAATTTAAAAAATCCCACTTTGTCAGAATTCCACCCCCAGAAAGCTAGTTTTTCTTCTCTTGTGCATGCATGTCATTTCCATTTTTATTTTGGAATACAATTATGTGCATTTTTGTTTTCTTATCCAAAGTTCAAAAATACAAAAGACTTTTCAGTGGGACTGTCAAACAGCTTATTCTGCAAATGAACAATCAGTCCCCATTTATCTCCTAGACCCCAGCAATGTGCGAGTGCTGCTACAGCCTCTGTTGCGTATTTTGGGACAGGACAGAGATCCGCCCCATTGCTCCTTTGGGGGAGAAGTAACTAAAATGTAACGTGTTAACATCACTTGGAGCACTTACACAAGAAAAACAATTCAGCTTGAACCTGTCTTTTACAAAGTAATACCATTTTGAACAGAACAAAAAGCAATTGTTGTCATTAAAACTGTATGAAACAACACTTTGATCCATTGTCTTTCTTGATTAAAACAACATTTGCTAAAACAAGAATTATACTTATTCTGCAGCTGAAAATAATCGAAGACCGTCACCGTCTTTTACAAAATGTCTTGCGTTAAGAATTTCATGCACACTGTTTACTACAGCCCCACTTCTGTAAGCTCCATCCGTGATGATTTCATGTTGAGAAGCCAGTCTGCTCCTTATGCTTTTTGTCTCTCTGTTTTTAAAAAGAGTAGAAAACTGTTCCAACTTCCAAATCATTTACATCAGAACATGTCTTAGTATGGCTTTCAGTCTTTGCCCTCTGAATTCAAGGCCTTAAGACAATGAAAAAAACAAGAAGCCAGGGGCTGCCTTTCTCAGGTGACCCGTGTTCCAAGCTCCCATGCCAGGGTGGAGCTACCGACTCAAGCCCCCGGAGTGCCGGCCTGGCCCATGAGGGGGTCGCTTCCCTCCACAACATCTTCCACCGGGGTCTGGTGTGTGCTGATGACGATGGTGTTCTCGTCTACAATCTCGCAGGTAGGGTTGGAGAAGGCGGATAGTGGGAGGGTTATCCTCTGCATCTCTCTCTCATACACCCGTTGATCATGTTGTTTCTTCAAGTCACGTCCCCTGGAAACACAGAAATAGTTCTCAATGTTTACCTCATATCCTTTAGTCCTCAGATTTGCCCTTCTAAAGCCACACACAGAACAGTAAGGCTTTAATGTTTCCTGCTAAGACTGCAATTTCGTTTAGATTTGCAGTCACCTTGAACGATTTGTTGAAATATAACTGCAGTACATTTATTTAATTTTTTGGAATTGTATTTTCATGGATTCTTTTGGGACAGCAGCATTTTCATCTTGTAATTTCATCACATCTCAAAAGCTAGTCAAGGCCAGGCCTGAGATGGAAGATGTCTGAGAAAAAAAAAACAGTTTATACTAACAGTTGGTAGACTAAGTGAAACTCTTCCCTCTCCACCAGAATTTCTTTATCCATGTCCCAGTAAGATGACCCAGGACACTGCCGTAGAAGGAGATGTCCTTCAGGTGAGCCATTGGTCATTAAAGATCTCATGGCACATTTTGAGTGGGAATGTTGTTACATGTGGTACCTTCGATTAATTATATTTTGGAATTGTACAATCCAGCCTACTTAAAAGTTCCCCTTTAATTCAGCTGGTGAAATCTTGCTTTTCCACTTGATTGGCAGTGTAGTGGGGCTACTGGTTCATACTGGTTACCACACATCACTCAGATAGGTGCTGCACTTTAGTGGTTTTTTTAAATGAACCTTCTGTATGTAACATGCTTTGGGATCAGTTGAGATGAAAGGTGCTATATAAAGGCAATTCATTATTAAAACATTGACAGAACCTGATCAACCTGATGTCGAAGTACTACTACATCATGCCAAAGTTTCCTCTCCACAAACATTTCAAACTCATAATACAATGCTGTATTCAAAACTGAACTTTAGTGAGTGTAACTATTTAAAACAAATTAACTTTTACTACTTGTGCAAATACAAATCCATTTTGCTAACATACGCATACAGTATCCAGTGTCTAGCCATGTTTATGCTGTTACTAGCCGACACTTGGAATTCAGCTCTTAGCACAAATGCTTGCCCTGCCTAGAGAAGATCTACTGCATGTGAAACATCCTTGGCAATGTCTGGATCTGAAAGAGGAACAAGCCATTTCCAAAGCACTGCCCTGCCAGGTTTGGATACGTTATGTAATGCTACAACATGAGATCTCCGCAGTGTGCTCTGCAGCCTGCCAGCAGTCCAAGAAAATCAACCTGATATGCCCATTCCTGGAACACTTCAGCTCCCCAGAGCTGTGCTGACAACAAGCACTGCAGAACCTTTTGCTAAAGGCGCACTGTTGCTCTTAAGTCCTGCTTGGAGCTGCTCTGTCATTTATAGAATCTCTGCTGATGCCACAAAACAGGACTGGAGATTAAGAGCTGAACAGCCAGCTTCTTGCAGCAAAGCAGCTTACCCATAAAGGCGTCACACACTGGTGACTGATACCATTGTCTCAAAGACATAAGCCACTTAATCATGTCATTATTTAGAAACACCGATACTTCAAACATAGCCATTAAACAGGTTTTCTATCCAAACTTAGATACCCATTTTTTTTCTAGGGACATCTGGTGCCCAGCGATAGTGATATCTTCTGCATATTCATCATTACTCAGTCAAACAGGCCTGTTTCCATACACAACTGCATATTGTGCCAGGATCCTAAAATCCCAGTTTTTGTAGGCTTTAAAGCTGTTCCCCAGAGTAATAGTGTACCCAATGCAACTCCATTTTAATTTTGAACTAAATACAGTCCCATACTAGCAGGATTACACAATTGACAGCAGATTCCCAGTCTCACAAGCATACCCTTGGATCTATCTCATCAGTGGGCTGATTTCAAAATCTGACTAGGAACCCAATTCACAGGAGACGACGACGCCCAATCAGAAAATGTGCAAAGAAAATGCTGAGGGCCAGGCACCTGGCCGAAGGACAAGGCAGTCTGGACCCCCATGCAAACTGATATCCACCAAGAGGCAGCTGCAAGGTGGAAATGGGCTGGAGGAGAGGTGCGAAAGAATCTGAATGTGAGGAAGAGAGGGGCTCATTGTGAAAGAAGAGCAGCTGAGGTGGAGGGGAATTTGGCCGCCATCATTCCTCCTGATCTTCTATTACCAACTTCATTCACGACTCAAACCGGCAAGGTGAACATTTATGTACTGAAGAGGGTAGCACAAGTCCGATTTACTGCTATTGAAAAACCACCAGCAGAAAATGGACAACCCATTAAAAGCCCCTTAAAAAAAAAACTTGCATTCAATTTTTTTCCCCTTGATAAGTACTGCTAGGTTCTGATTTGTATGTCCATGGTTATCAAAGGAGTTGACAAAGACAGAGAGGAGAATCAGACGAGGCTAACTAACCTCTTGTACAAATATCCCAGGGTTATTCCGACGCCCAGAATGATGATGACCGCCATCATGAGAATTCCCATCACATAGCCTGGAAGAAAATTCTCTGTCAAGACCAGCTCTCGAAACACATCAAACACAGTGAAGTACCACCCTACTAAAACAGGCAATGATTGATAAATTAACTGTTTTTAAATAGTAAATTATACAGATCGACAATCCTTCGTGCACGTTTACTATCAAGCTGTAGAAACGTCTTCTTGATCTGTAATCACTGCATTTATTTCAACACAACTACCACATAGTACAGTGAAAAAAGCAGATTCTAACACAGGAATACTCTGTCTTAAGCGGCTATAATAGCATTTTTGCATTCTTAGGTTCTAGTCAATATGCTTCCGCCTGTAACAGCTCGTGAACATACCACTAATCCACCTTGTGATTCATTTTATGACTATCCAGTGAACCTAAATGCCACTGTCAAGTGGAATTTACTCCAAAAGAGTACACTAGGGAACACCAAAACATGTATGTACGATACATGTGCACCCTGAACAGTTTAATTCAAGAACACATTTCGGTAATGCTAGGAACTTTAAATAAAATTATTTTGTTTCCAATACTTCAGGTACAGCATTAAATGCTCGGCAAATTACGCCCAGGCCTGTGCTGCTTTTTGCAACATACTTGTCATCTTGTTTTAATCCCCCAGATGTGGATTTATGAACACCATTCGCATGTTATTTCCATGCGTGCGTCTCCTCGAGAGAAACCTCCTCCCGACAGGGAGGTTGTCTGCAGGCCCGGAGACACCAGATCTAGGTGCTTTTCGAAGCCTTGCGAGAAGTCCGATGTTTTTCCGGATGCTTACCCAGAGTGCCCAGGTCTTTCTTCTGCTTGGGCCCAGACCGCTGGCTTATCCCGATGACCGGCTGTACGGCCGCACCCTCGCTCTGGGACGAGAGCGACTCGGCCGACTCAAAGATCCGCTGCTCACTGGAGGAGGAGGCTCGGAACCCCTCTGTCACTGCTGCTGGAGTGGCCTGATCTGCAAGACACCCAAGCGCAAACCTCAGCTTATCCTGCTGTCACCGTCCAACCTCCGCGGCACCATATTCTCTACATGCAAGTTCTCAGGTTTCCTATATTCTCCTTCCAGTTCTTCAGGTCACTAATACACACAGATCTTTTCAATTAAAAGCTGAAACACTTTAATGTTGGGTGCTGCTTTTCTGTCAACCTTACGTTTTTGGAATAGAAATTGTAACCATACCGTTTCGTCTGGAGTTGTAAACTACAGGTTTTGAGTGGAAAAACAACTGCATGCAAATGAGACTGGAATGACTGCAGCGCTGCACTGTCAGGGGCAGGAAGTCAATTTAGAGGTTATTAAATACCTCAACATCTGCTCTACTGCTGACAGAAGGGTCTGTTTAGCTCCCTCTCAGAAAAAAGTTGTTTACCCTGCCTGTCTCAGACTGATAAAATGAGATCATCGCTTGATGCCAGCCAATGGGACGCTGTCTCTGTGGGAAACGTCAGCCAATAGGGCTGCAGAAAGGGTGTGGTTTCAAATTCTCTGTGGCAGCTGCAGTGCTAGTTATTCATGTTTTGTTTCTTGGGAGCTCACTGGGTGCACAGAAGCAAAGGCTTTTGTTATTGTCTAATGGGGGTTATCTGCCTAACTCTTCCAAAAGACAAAGACTGCTTTACAAAGGCCTCCCTCAAACTGCACCAACCGGACCCCTGTCAAATACGAAACCAGAGCTCCTGTTTCCAGACCAACTGGCTGAAGAAAGAATCGTTTCCAAACCTGGCAAACTCTGTCTGCACAGACTGAGGATTCGTGTGAGGTTAATGACATCAAATAAAGTTGCAAGCAAATTGCAACAGGGTTTTCTTTTCAGGTTTTTGAGGGTTTGCAAAGTCTCTTGCTCCCACAATGTTCCAACTTATCAGATGGAACCTACCCTGTATTATGAGAATGATTTTAACAAATTATTTTGCTTGCTGTTGTTTAGCTTTCGTTCCCCTATGTCCTATTCCGTCCGATAACTTGCCTCCTTCTCCAAACACAGCCATCAGACACAGGAATAGATTCCTGGAACCTTCTGCTATGATAATAAATACACTGGATGTCAATGACCAAGCTCAGTTTTTTTCTTTGCCTCATCTCCCTTTTGTGAAAGCAGACTCTGTGGTCCTCTGGGTTAAATAAATTAGCGTGCCTCTCATCTTCGATTGCATCGGCCTCACAGACGGAGACGCCAAGCTCCCCAGCATGCACCACTAGAGCAGGTGGCTGCAGCCTTGCTAGCATGACCAGCTGTGAGGATAGACAGATGCCTTTAAGTTGGCGACACCCAGCAGTAACTATGGCAACAAACACCTTTAAAGTCCAGTAAGAGGCCTTTCAATCTGCTGTTTGCCTCATGTTAAAAGCCACGCAGGTGCTGTGTGATACAGTGACAAATGTAGCAATGTTTCCATGACATGTGGAGTTATATCAGAGGTTAGCAAAGGAACCAGAGCATTCATAATAATCCGATTTGAGTCCACCTTGTTGCAAACACTGCACAGTAGTGTTCTGAATTATGGGAACATAAATGATAACAGCATCCCTCTGTAATAATTCCTTACAGCAATGATCTGGACACTCTACTCAAAGCACTTTACACGTAATGGGGATCCCCTCCACCACCACCAATCCCACCTGGATGATGTGATGGCAGCCAAAGTGCACCAGTACGTTCACCACACACCAGCTCTCAGTGGGGAAGGCCACAGAGTGATGAAGCCAATTCATAGATGGACATTATAAGGTGGCCATGATTGGTAAAGGCCAGGGGGAAATTTGCCCAGGACACCGGGGTAACACCCCTAGTGTTTTCGGGGAAAATACCCTGGGAGTTTTAATAATCACTGACATTGCCGCAGTATTTCAGGACGTTACTGTATGTTCACAGTTGTGTAAGCCTATAGCCGTTTAATGGAGCTGATTTAAAAAAAAAGGATACCTTTACAGATTTCAAAGGCACAGAGCTGTCGCTTGACTTCACTGCTGTTACTCGTCACATAACACCAAGGCAAGGCAGAGCCATCAGGGTTGCGGCAGTAGCTGTGGTTCCCCACGCCTGAGGAACACAAAAACACGCAAGTGTAAGTACTTTCACTTTGTTCGAGGTTTGTTTTGCAGCTGCTGGTTCACCATGCCACCACGCCAACAAAATCACCTTCCCTTTTATCAGCTGCTGTTGTTCCCAAATTAGAGAGGGCTCTAAAATGTTTATGCACCACTGACGACTGATAACAGCAAATGAACTGCAAGAGCCACAGAAAATAGATGTTATGAAACCGTTCTGAAATATTGGCAAGAAGAAGGCAAACTGCACCACTTTTAACACTGATCAACAAAACACCTTTTAATCACCAGAGCTCTGAACAACAAAAAGGCTTTCTGTACTTATATAAGCCTATGTCCTAATTATATTGTTTTGTTTTTCTCTTTTGTAAATAGCGATCTTTTCTTCCCAGACAGCCACAACTCTAGCGAGTGTTGCTTTCTCTCTGAAAAGCTTCCCTTGTGTGTCTTTGTTGATGCTCCCGTTTGGTAGTTAATTAGGACATGGTCTGCCAGTGTCTGCTTTCTGGACAGCACATTGAGACAGGGCTCACTGTGAAGAGGGGCTTTGTGCAATAACTACAGACTGACTCTTCTTCACAACCGACCAGTATTTTCACATACGCACACATTAGAACCTGAACATCCTGAAACCAAAGCTTGCCCTGCACATCGGTCCAAACTGAAGTTTCAAATCGGGGGGCACCCCACAAAGCAGACAATGTTAATGTCCATCATATGTGTTGCAGTGCCGATAATGACAGGATCATGATCAGAAGATTGAAGGCCTTCATATGAGAGCCACAGGGCAAAACAGTAAGTCTTCGCAATGACCTTCAGCAAAACACCAGGGCAGAAAGGCTGTTCTTGCTTGATGCAAGACCACCACACTCTGTCAGACTTCAGTTTTGGTACTGATTACGCATTCAACAGTGGAGAATGTATAAAAAACAGAATTAATCTCAATGGTGAGCATCATACCACACATTTACTGTTCCAGCACATATAATCTTTCCAAGTGGTCACACTGAAACCTTTTTTGTATAGGCTTACACAATTTGCAAGGATTAGGCAAAGCAAAGATTGGAGTTTCTGCACATCTATGCTACCTTGATGGGTTTGGGCGTTCTTACCTGTTTCTGTGTCGGGATGGGCAGTTATGTTGTAGTCTCTGGTTACAAGTGTCCAGTTTAAACACTGATATCCAGAAGCTGTTGTCTGCTTCTCTCCCCGGTACTCAGTACCATTAGATCGGATACATTCTATGTAGAGAGGGACACAATGTGAAGACAATACCTCAGACCTTGTTAATGTACATAAAGTCATTAATATCACTCTTTTTTTTATAAATGGTGTTTCCCAGTCTTGTTTTAAAGAACTTCTGTGCCTTCTGGTTTTTGTTGAAAATGAGCTCCTATTGATTATTAATTAAGCTTATCGGGCCCTTAATTAACTGAATTTGATTTTTAATCATTTTCTACACTAATGCATTGCTTTCAGAAATCCACCCCTTATTCCAAGAAATGTTGAAATGTTGCCAGCAGAACTATTCCAACCTGGTTTAAAATAGCTGCTCTCCTATAGTTTTTGAAACAGCTAAATGGCTACTGATTAACTGTTGGGCTGTACAGACCATTTTCAAAGTTACGCTTTAAAACAGTAAACAGATTGAAGGAATCTGAAAGTTTCTGGCACAAGGGCTGTTGTGGACTTCCACCCCTCTCTAAGCATTCAACAGCTGGAACTAATCTGAATAAAATTAGTCAATTAGTTAAATTAAAGATTCAGTAGGCTTAATTAATCAAGAGTTCAATTGGAACAAAAACGAGATGATACTATGTCCATCACTAAGACCCTGACAAACTGGTGTTCATAACATCGAGATATTCAGAGATAATTTATTAATGCAAAACAAGAAACGTGTAAATTTCATATCGGTAACTGTAGAACACTATTTTTATGCAGTTTTAGTTTTTTTTTTAAATAATAACATCCCTAAAAGTTTTCTTTGTTGAAAAACACGAAACTAAATATGAAATTAAAAAATACATCTAAAAAATTTAAAGGGACGGTATCATCTACAAAAACGGAAATCAACGAGGGCTTTTAAATTAAGCATTGCAACTGCCGACGCATCATCGAAACGATCGCTCTGAGATGCAATGCGATTACCAACCAAAAAAGTTAAGGATAAACCACTGAAGAAACATATAGCACTTTTTCTGGTCTCTACCTACCTTGGATAACTGATGCGCCGTCCACAAACGCGATGTTTAGCAAAAGAAACGGGGCGATGAACAACATTTTGCGTGCCAATAAGAGCAAAATGTACCTGCAAACGAATAAAACAAGCAGTAGAAAGCTTCTAAAAAAAATGTGCACGATTTTTTTTTGTGTGTGTGAAGAGCCTGTGCTAAATTGTCCTAACACACTGCTGCTTCTCTTCATGCAGTCCAGCCCTTGTTTCGATGTGCGCTTTTCTTGGTAAACAGCCTCTCTCTGGGTTAAGGAACTCCCTCCCTGCTGCTGCAGAGCTGGGGCTTCAAACTTCAAGGTCCTAAGCACCTACAACTCCACTCGTCTCTACTTTCCTCAAATCAATGTGCACAAAGGAACCCATGTACAGTATATATGAAACTCCCTAGCCTAGCCCTGTACCAACCACTGCCACGTTAGTGTTTTCCTCTTAGCTAGCCCAAAGTCCTAAAAAAGGAGGGGGTTTGGGGACTAGTAAGTATTTGCCACAACCCTTTAGATATAAATTCCACTATACTGTATGTGCGGTGATTTTTTTTTATCAATTCAGCTTTGGTCACGAACAACGTTCACGCAACTACAGTAGTTGTTAATAATAAACGCTCTTAAAGTCCACTGAGATATTCCTACACGAATATGGAACTGGCTTTCTTCTGCACTGTGGGTCGACAACATTTGTTATAGACAAATTATTGCAGGTCATTTTTAATGATTGTAGTTAAATACTGCGTTGTGCTACAGTGTTTGTGAGTTTTGAGATTACAGTGAAAAATGTAAATAAGATCTTAAATCGAACTACAGTAAACACGTAGGTTTATCTTGTGTAACGGTAGAGAATTTTTTTTTTATTCCTTCAGGATTTGATTGTCGCAATTAATCACGGTCTCGGCCTTTCGGTTCTCTAGGTCAGAACTGTCATTCTGACAGCAGTTATCATCAGCGCACTTGACTGCACAGACTGCGACTCTCTGAAATACTGACCAAGGGAGAGAGCAGCCAGAGGCAGGTCTGCTACTGGTGTAACGGTGAAGTGTAGGCGTCGAGCATCAGGTCACTGCGTCAATATGCTGACAGATAAAAAGGTAATGGGACGCACAGGCCTGTGGGAGTTAATGGGACCATAGCCACATTGACTGCACAATGGGGCGTGAATTACAAGATTAGCAGAGGTGTGCTTTATCTGCAGCCCTGTTTGCACTAGCCTAAAGATTCAGTGAATAATAAACCTCATGTGTGTTTAGCTTTCGCTGGCAGTGCTGGACAGCAGGTCTCTCACTGGAATGTCAGCCCATTTCACCTGCTGTACTGCATCCTGCTAGTTGAGCAGTGTATCTCATGCTGCATATCCACAATAGTCTGTTATCACACATTCTCTGAAGGCTTGCTGAGGTTGGCCAGCCATGAGTCAGAAGGCTTGCTGAGGTTAGCCCATCGCTGGTTAACAGCACTGTTTTGTTCAATGAGACTATGATGGACCGACATCTAAAAGCTCCTTTGTCACATTATTGGTCCAAAATACAAAAATCATGACACAGCTATTTACCATTGTTAGTAAAATGATGGCCTGATGGTCACAGACCTGAACCGCAGCTGGGTCAATACTGTGCCACAGTGGATGCTATGTCCTCTCACTCACTGACTAAAACAGTGATTCAAGAACAGCAGATGAAACCAAGATAGGAAGTGATCTTGTGGCTTCTGATATTCGTGTTAATGTCAGTGAGCATCCGCAGTTACTACTGGGACTGAACCAGTAAAGAACATTCCCATATTGTTTTAATTCCAAAGAAACTCTGGAGTCCTGAGCTTTCAGTTCCTTCTAGATGGAACGTGAAAGTGTGGGGGATCCATCTTAAACATAACAGGGAATCATGGATCAACCTGTTGCTACAACACTGAGTGCAAAACAAATATCATGGAAGCACAATGTATCAAACAAAAGTGACAAACAGGGACTCTGTGCAGAGACAAGAAAGATAATACAGGGAGTACAGGGCATGGTACTTGACACTGATCCCTGCATGGATCTGAGGTACAGCCCTTCCACGCACCATATGGGATGAAAATGTTAAATGACCAGATGCCCAACGTAATTAAGATTGGGAAAGCAATTTCTAGTAAAAGGGCTTTCCGAATGTATCGTCCTATCTGTGGCTGGGCAGTGTGTTGCTGCCTGCTGTTTATAACCTCCAGAGAAATGAAAAACAAGGCGTGTGCCAACTAGGTTAAAGGGGCACACACAGGAGCACCACACTCGATAAACCGGTTCACCTGTGGAACGGTAAAGACACCTATTCATTTGAAAACAACAACCCACAAAGATATCAGCACAGAAATGAGTAGCTAACATATTGCTTGCAGTTCTGTAACATTTAGTAGTGCTACAGTAAGGAATATTATTCTCAACACCACTAATGTAAAGTCATAACAAATACTTTCATATCTGCCTTCCCTTATGAGGATAACCTTAACCAAAGGCCAGTTCTTGTGTAGAGTTCCCTCCTAAGCCCCACTTGATTTTTCTTAGATTGCAATACAGTTTCATAAACAATTTCTAGGCTTCATTTCCATTTCTTTGAGCAAATTTGCTTATGCAGTTTTTTCCAAGGCCTCACTTGCCAAGGTAGCTGCGTCATGGAATCAATTCCGCACGGATGCGCCCCACTGTCCCATAGTCTTCCGCTGTCTTCAAGTAAGCACCAGAGCAGCTGAGACACTAACCAGAACCCACACTTCTGTATTTCTGTATTTAGCTACCCATCCCCCAAGCATATCCTCCTTGCTCTGAGCTCTGTGTATTCCAGCAGGCTGAGGCCTCTCCCATGTTTTCCTTCGGCAGACAAAGGCTGCATTGCTTCACCACTCAGAGACACAGCTTGGAAAGTCTTTTGTGCCCCAGTGCTCTGACCTTTTAGCCATTTCAGGCCCCTCTTTTGTATATTTGTTTGCCCAGGCACAGAGTAACCGTTGAACATGAAGTGCTTCCAGCGACTGTCTAAATTTCAAGGCATACTGAGCTGCAGTGTTGCAATCGCCCTTTAAAAGAGAGATGTACAGTACAGCTACCTCACTCTTTGTGCTTTGAGGATAACTTTGTGCTCTTACCCATGGGGGATACCACATAGAAATACCTATTGTTTTCAGAAACCTGCCCAGAATTTTTTTTCCTCTTTAGCTCTCCCCTGCTGTGGCAGTCCTATTGGAGCCTTCAATCTGCCCTTTCCGAGCCTTGCTCCAACGCCTAAGAGCATAAGAAAGGTTACAAATGAAAGGTGGCTTTTCGGCCATTCTAGTCCATTTGGTGTCTTGTGGCTAACAATAGCTGGATCGCATCGATCCATTTCCTGAAAAGCACGGCATGAGCTTCTCCAACATGGCTGGGTAGCTCAGACATTTTGTTTTAAATCGAGATGAGTTTCATTATATACAGGAGCACAAACCGCACACAGAACTGTCACAGCTGTGACTATGACTTTTTTTTCCCCAATAAGGCAAAAACCAAGATAGCAAGGGTCTTGTGCTCTGTTCCACGGTCCTCTGTAGTGACTGTTGTCTGTCAGTGACCCGTAATGACAACGGCTGATGGCTTACTGACTGGTAATGCAGAGCAGGCTTTGTTCCACTCTGCTCAAAGAAAGGGTCGCTGCTCATTGCTGTCCTCAGACTGTTAACAGCTGGGCCTTCAAAAGACAACTTCCTTCACCGTTGTGCTTTTTTCTACGGAGCGAGGAGTGACAGCCCACTGTCGGCCAGTCAGTCCATTATATGACTCCATCACGCATTCTTTTTGGGCCTTCGTGGCTGCTTGGCAAATGGCTGTCAGGCTCCTGCTTTTGCTAAAAGCTCTGGCCTTGTTGCATTCACAAGCTGAGAAAAACAAGAGAACAGGTTTAGTTACTGTAACATTCGCCACAGGAATGAAAGCAACTGTCTGAAGCGCGCTTGAGAAAGCATCTTAATCCAGTCAACTGAACCGACCCCTCAAGCCATTATGTTTTACATATCCAGGCATGTTTTCTTCCTCGTCCTCTGTATCATGTTTCGGTCTGCCTTGTTTTCTTCAGAGACAGAGACAGTTTTGGCTGTTTGCAGTTGGAGAGGCATTATCAGTTGCTGGCAGGATATGGTCAGATAAACTGCACAACAACAAATGAAAGAACTAAAAAGAGTTAAAGAATGACTTAGCAAAAGTTTCTTGTGCTCTCTGTGAGCTCTTACAATTTTATCATTTTGAAGGCTACATGACAAAAGAAAAGGTTGGTTTTGGTTGTTCAAAGGCTACAATTTATCAAGCTGTTTATTTTTCTTCATACTTCCCTTCTGCAGTGAACACAGTTCTCAGGCTTTAGATCTGCTTTTATTTGATATAAATGTCTCTGAGATTATAACAAGGAAAAGATCACAAGGACACAAGGATATGCACACAGAAAAAGTGAAACTGTACAGTAAAACTGAAACTGTACATAGATACCATGTGAAGGATTTTGTGAAAGCCTGTTTTCCAGTAAAGCAGCCCAAGCACAAGGACTTTTTTTTTGCCTTGCCTAGGGAAACAGCTCTGATTATCCTTAAATAGGAATTAGATAGATTAGAGAAATTGGCATTATTTACTACACAACGTCCAAAGGCCAATGTAAAATGTAATCAAAATACAGAACTACTCATATTGAAAAACTGCGGTTAAGCAAAGGAAAAAACTTAAGGTTTTCATCACTTAACACATAGTATTTATAAAAATGGAAGAATTTATTACTCTGGGTGGAAAGTTGAAATAACACCCTCTTTAGTGAATTCTGGGTATCAAAATTAAATTTGGAGCCGGAGCCTATCCTGGCAAGCAATGGGCACAAACAGGGGTACACCCTTGATGGGAGGCCAGTACATCACAGGACAGAAAGACTCAAACACACATACCAGTGCTAATTTCCCAAGAAGCCAATAATCCTGCCAGTATGTAGAAAGAGGAAACCCACACAAACACAGGAAGACCACGCAGATTCCACATAGACAGCAGACCCGGTTCGGAACTGAACCCTGGACCCCACAGGTGCCAGTCAGCAGCACTAACCACTGCACCGGGCCAGCCCCTGCTCCAAACCAGTGCCACTGAAGTCTTCTGAAATAAAAGAATAAAGATTCCCATAGTCCCAGCATGCTCCTGAGCCAAAAACAGCTTGACATAATCTCCTTCAGTGGTCAATATCCACTGGTAAGCCTCAACAATTCCTGCTTAGAAAAGCATAATGGAGAAGGTGAACATGCTTAATGTACAAAACAAGCATGCAAAAAGCATTCATGATTTATGGAGAAACACTACATAAGCGTCCTGTTATATTAGTAAATCTAGGTAGTAAAAATGGCCAAACTGGATCTGCAAGCAAGTTTGCAATCCCGCAAAACTCAATAAGGGAATGCTGATTAAAGGTCTGCTTCAGTCTACAGTGTTTATGAGATTTGTAATATAGATTATTATGGGAAGAAACCCCACTGTTTTTAAGCCTGCATTAAAAAAAGCAATAAAATCTACCTTCTAAGATAAAAAAAAAAACATTAATAAATTGTTTTTTCTTTCCTAGTTTCCGTGTTGTCCTGATTGCTATTCCAGACAGGACTGCGGGATTTATAACCATGCACTGTTAGCTTCAAGCAAGCAGGAGCAGGGCAAATTAGGTTTATGTAACAATCAATCAAATGTCACCTTTAGAACAACAAAGAAGGACAGAGATATTCTAGTGGTTCCTCCAGGATATGGCCAACTGTTAGAATTTCCATTTTCGAGCATCGTAGAGTTTACTAGACAGACTAGCAAGTCAAAACAGGAAATGATACAGTTTCAATCTCAGAGCTCAGAGAACGCAGGCAGTAGGAAGTTGGAAACTGGAGTCAAATGCGATATGTGATCTTGTAAACATTAAGCAATCTTAAATTGGCCGACTCTGTTCAAACACATATACCTCTCTTATTAAAGAGTACTGGGCCTAGAATTTAATGGTGGCCCAGAGATATTCAGAACACAAAATGTATATTTCACAGAAGGTAATGTCAGCAAAGATGTTAAACACAAGATGGAAGGAAACAAGTGTCAACAATTACAAGACTGGAGGTAGCTTTGTTCCTATTTTTACATTTTACAGTACAGGTATGCTTGGGCAGGCTAATGCAAGTCAACAAGACAACTATTTTATTTTTGGTGCTGCAGTATTCATATTTTTTGAAAGACAACAGAGCAAATCTGATGGTTGCAGTGTTTAACACAGCAAACTGTGTCAGAAGACAGGGTCTCAGTCAGGAGTTAGAAGTAAGATCCAACCACAGAACAAAGTAAAAAACATGAAATGTTTAAGTTCAGAGACACAGAGGTAGACACAAAATCATGTAAAAAGACTTGTGTTTCCTGCTTCGAGTTCTCCTGCAGGCAAGTTCAAAAACAAAAAGGTGATTATTACAACCTATGATTATTTTTACCGTAAGATTCCATTGTAGTGTTATAATGTTGCTAGTTTTACACAGTATTACCTATGGCAACTCACACAAAATCATTAAAACAATTAACACTGGCAGGCATGTATGAACTGAATGTTTCCCCCCCCATCTGATACAGTTTCCTTGTGACTTGGGTACACACTGTTCTCTTTAGAGGAGAGAGGCCTCGGAGAGGCGCAGGTGTGGGAGACTATGCCTAGAAGATTTCTCTGAAAGTGTGTTCACCATATGTCACATAGCCTTCCTTTCTGGTGAAAATCAACACAAAATTGACAAATAATGCTGTCAGACCACATTTGAGTAGTTTGATTAGGTTTCAAACTTTGACTTTAATTACTGAGACTGAAACCTAATGAAAATACATTTTTAACACAGGGTAGATGCTGTTGTCACAGAAGTTAAGGCATCTGTTCTAACAAATTTCCATGGATTAAAAATGTCCCTTCCCGTAGGTTTCCTGAAAAACACATTCCTAACTACTCTCCTTCTTGCAGACAGGCGAAACAGAATGGTCTCTGGCAGCCAGGCAAAACTGCACATTAATCAGGCCTTTCCTTGAGACTCGTCAACAGAGCAGAAGCTCAGAACACACCAAGGCCTCTTCGTAAGATCCAGGTGAGCCCTCTGCCCCTCTACTCCTGTGTTAACATGCTCAAGCTGAATAAACCATGCTCCAGACTCCAAATGAATGGAGATATGATTCAACAAAACCACATGGCAGCTTGGTAAAATCCTGTAAACAATGAAGATACACTATATCATGGGCCTTAAACATTCTGCAGTAAGGCCTCTCTGTTCCTGACATTTATGTATCTTTTCACATTACCGTGTGCTTGCTTTGATTTTAGCCATATTTGGTAGAAGGTGCAGTTAAAGGTAGGTAAGAAAATTCAGGTGTTTTGTTTATATCAGCAAAACCGACCATTTTTTTAAAAGGCACAACAAAAGGAAAGAATGTACACAGCAGATTACATCCTGGTTTGGGGGGAAAAAAAAAACCAAAGTGCTTGGTTTACATTTAAAACCAATCCCTTAAAACTGCCAAAAGGTTTTATGTTCAAATAAAATGAGATCACTTTTCCTGAAGAAATCACAATTCCAGATGGCCTGATTTAAAATGACAAAGTTTAAAATGATGGGAAAGAACTTTTATATATTTTTAGATCATGCAAAGTACGTTCATAAACTGGGTGGCCACGAAAGTTTCGCTGTTCAGTGTTCATTTTCCAAAAGTTAAAGGCCCAGGGAACAAGAATGGTCTTCAGCATACAGATCTGCTTCTCTAATGCAGCTCTTATAGGCTCTATACCTGATGTAGCTGAAAGCACTGCTGTCAAATCAATTCAGAGTGTTACAGATACATTAACAGAATGGACATTTGGAGAAGAGACGAGCCCTCTAATGGAATAGATGAAACCCACTGCGATAGCACTGAAGAGTCACCCTGCATCAGGGCTCTGAAGGCATTACATCACCGTTCCAGTTCTGCGCCACAAAACAGAAACCTCTGGAGAAAATACTAATGCACACAAATGCTCAGGAAAGTAGATGGGGAAAAGCTTTTTAATTATTCAAGAGTAAAATGAGATCCTAAGGGGGGGAACGCTTCCCCTACTGGTCGTTAGGGTGTAACTGCAGGGAAATATAGCTCCTTTGATGAGACAGATTTAGATCCCAAAAGCGGTTCTAACCGGTCAGGGGCAGAGCTGCTCTGTTGTAATAAAGAGCAGCAGGCTGGCAGCATCAGCTGCTACAGCCTGAAAAAATCCTTTTCTGCGCCGACATCTGACAATAGGAGATGAAAGAGGCTGCTTTTAGCTTTCGTGAATCCTCTGCATCCAATTTGATATACACTGTCCAACAACCAAATTCATCAGTCCACCCACTCTGCCCCTGAAAGTAGAATATCCATATATTCACAATTGTGAACAGAGACATTTTCCACATTAAATGGAAAATGGTACCCAAGCTGTACTTCCAGTCATTTTATACAGTACATCCCGCATTTCATTTTGTGAAAAAGCCCTCTTACTACCTGATTTTTCCGAAAGCCTTACAGAGGGCAGAAGGCAAAAGTAGATGCAAAAAGGCAAAACATCTTCAAGCAACGTTCCATGCACGGCATGAACTGAAGTCTCTTTCCACATTTTCTTGAGCTGAAGTGCTCTTTTTTCAGCACCAGAAGGTGGTGCTTAAATTCTTCGAGTGCCTTGGTGGCTATATTCACACAACACGTAATGTTAAAACAAGAAATAACTCAAAAATATACATTCACAGGATGTTGCTGAAACATAAACGTTGTAGTATATTAAATAATGGATTAGCTGTGGAATTACATAATTCATATCTTGGCAAGCCGGCCGATGTACTTGTCTGTGTGATTTGCTGGAATTGAGAAGGAGACATTATTTCTCATTGCATTTCTTAACTAGGGTTTCATGTAATACCTGACTGACAGAGTGTTCACTTATTAAAGCCGTAGCTTTCTGTACTAATGCAGTACAGTGGTTTCAAATCTAACCTCAGGTTTTCTAAACAACTGCATAAAATTAAAAATTAAAAAACTAATAATGGCCACAGTTACTGATATACATGCACCTTATACATATTCACTACACATTCCTAGTGAAACGCGTTACACATGATGAGAGGTGTAAAATACAAAACACTGCATGTGCAAGAAGATTATGTGGGGAATGGATTTTCACTTGAAATGCCAGAACTTTATAAAATCTACAACATGATTTCTACAATTCATGTAAACATAAAAGCTGACATCACTGGATCAGCTGATACGAGACCCCATGGTCTTTGATATGCCACAGATTTTTACTGTTGGGGGGATGTCAGTGGGTTCCCACCCAATCAATACCCACTGACACAAGGACACCATGTTGAGAGAGAAGCCTCCGTGTTTCCTGCAGGTCAGCCCACAGTGCCTGGGGTGGACAGTGGAGCTCGGGAGCCAGAGGCTGGTGATCTTCTGAGGCCTCCAGCAGATGCAGCAGAAAACCCGCCCTTGCAAACAGGCCGGCTAGGTGACCATGGAAACAGGGCCCACACTGCCAACCCAGATGGCCAAGCGCCACTGCCTCATCTCCTGAAAAACAATAACCTGAATATTATTATTAATAATAATAATAATAACCATAATAATACTTACACTTACGTAGTGCTTTCCTGGTTACAGGTTATGGGGACTCCTAGCCTGGATTTTGCGACAGCAGCCGAAGTGCACCAGCTATCGTGGGGAGTGTTCCCTTCACTATACTGGGACATTAGGACCCACACAGACCGCAGAGTGAGAACCCTCTACTGGCCCCACTAACACCTCTTCCAACAGCAACCTGAGCTTTCCCAGGAGGTCTCCCATCCAGGTACTAGCCAGGCTCATACCTGCAGTGTGATATAGCTGCTGGCTATTATTAGCTGTATTAGCTAATAATAGCTAATGGCTGTTTTTGAACACTGGCTCTTAAAACAAGAGCAAATTAGGCCTTCCACCAGCTTTTCATAAATCCGGTTTAATACTGGTATCAAAAGGTCCAAAGTGGTCATGATAATATATACAGGCATTCCCTGTTATACACCGGCGTTAGGAACCAGAAAGTAGCAACATACAGCAAAATCACACATAAAGGGGAATTCTTCCCCAGAAAAGCAGTGTATTGATGGAGGGTTCATATTAAACGATTCATAATCTAAGTCAAACGTAACCGCAGTGTCTTCAGGAAGAATGTTTTTGTTAGATTTTGCTCATCATAATATTGGTTTTTCATTTCCACAACAGAATAATCCATGAACCACCTGCGTTGCTGGCTTTTGGTGCCTTGAAAAACAAAGTGAAGGCAGGGAATTTTTACATCAAGTCCCACAGTTCATCAAAGACCTCAGTGCAGGGCAACTTAGAATGGGGACTGCCTATAAATAAAACAACACGTTTGGAGAATTCTGTGTATTGTGTTCTGTATCGGAACATTTCACTTTTTTTATGAGGAAACCAAGATTGTATAACACCAGCTTCAGTACCTCTTCCGAACAGCTGCTTGCAGAAGTGGATGTTGTTCAAGATGCCTGCTGTGTTTTCTGCTGCCCAGACGGCCAGGCGGTTTTTGAGATGGGAGGGTTTGTCTGTCTTGTCAGCAAGCTGGATGAGGTAGGGGAGGAGGAGTTCCGACATCACGGAAGGCTCCTCAAACACGTTGGCATCGTCTTGTTCGTACAAGCTTGTGCACCTGCAACACGTAACGGATTAACTGTGCTGAGCTTCGGAGAGCAGGCAACAGTGCAGCATACATAACGCTGATCTCAGGTAAACCTGAAATGTCACTGTCATGTCAAAAGAATTACTGGCCAATGAAGCGAAAAGATATCCTAATGGCATGGGCGTTATCAAGATGTTTAAAGATCACATCTGGGCTTCACTGACCCCATTAAACAATGAGCTCTCCCCTTATCTTAACATCCAACACAATAGCCAAGGATCCAGGTGGCTGAACAATTCTACTAATTTTTAACAGTGATCAGATAGTTCCCAGTTCAATCATTAGGTCAGCTCTCTCAGAGCAGTCACTGGGAAGAGTAGCAGAGGAGAAAATGACAAAGGAGGAAGAAAAGCAGGTGAGAGAGCAAATCCTTCAACAGACCAAGGGAACAGAATCTGCCCAGACACTCTGAACACTAAAAAAGACTGAACTCTAGAGACTAAGTACAGGACTGTTGTTTCATAGTTGTTGGAAATACTGACTTCCTATCCACCAGGCTAAAAGAAATGTCTCATTGTTATTCTGCATAGGGAAGCAGGTTTCCATCTGTTTACCATTCGTTTTGGAGAGAAAGTTAGTCCCACGTGGGACCTTTTATTGGATAAGACCAGTTCCTTCCCTCTTTTCTTATGCACTGTTTGTGCCTCAGTTACAGAAAGATGTTTATGTTTTCTGTCTGACAAGCAAGACCCTGGTACTTGCAGAACTGAAAAACTTTAGAGCACTAAAGGTTGTCTGATGTGTATTTGTAGTATACTGTAAGAAATATTCATTTTTGAATTTGCTGGCTGCTTATTACTCTGTTACCACCCTCTCTTAGCCACAATCTGCCAGATGACAACTCTATTCGCTGATGATAACAGGGTATGACTGTTCATTTTTACAATTTGTGTGCATAGCAAGCTTGTGTCAGAGCCCGCTATTTGATTTGGCTGATACTTCTTATTTTATAATTTAGCTCCCTAGTTTGTAACCATCATGCATTCACTCAAAACAACAGCTTGTTTTCATTTGAAGGATACACTCCTTTCCAATGCCAATATTTCTCAGATGTGTCCACACAAAAGCACAAGTATTGCTTTATGAGGAAATGCTACAATAATCCATTAGCTCCCACATACTTATCTTCCTCAAACTGAGCCTGGTTGTGTTTATGCCAAGTGGTTCCTAGAAGAAAGCAGAAGAGCCTTTCCAGGAAAACACTGGAAATCAGTTTAATTTAGATGCTGCCCTACTGCAAGCTGTCCCGTGACGCCCAGTACCCCCCAGAAACCCCTGCAGATCAGCAGCTCCAGCAGAGGAGCACTCACTCTGCGTCTGCGTCCTGGGCACCCCTCAGTGCTTCCTTCAGGTCGCCGTCAGGGAGGTGCGACAGCAGAGCCCCTAGAGTGCCTGGGCTATCCCAGAATTCCTCCAGGAGGAGCTCCAGCAGGCCCAGCAGCCCCTGGTTAACTTGCATCTGAAAGCAAGGGCCCTGTCCCTCTGTCCCTCCCTTCCAGAGGCTGTGCAACACGGAGGCAAACTTCGCGGCCTCTGTCCTTATTTGCTGGCTCTCATCCTGCAGGAGGTGAATGGCAGTATTTATCAACCTACAAAAAAAAAAAAGCACACTCATCTCAGTTAGCATTCAAACCTATTGGTGGGTGTGAAGCAACTTGCAGTTATACACAGCAGTTACTGAACTTCCTTCTTCACACTGTCCAGTTATTTCTGATTATTGCTGGTTACCCCCCAGTGATCTGTACATAGAAAAGTATCTCCAATATCTTCTAATTAAAAACTGAACAAATAGCTGATTATGTAAGCCCAGTAACCATGGCAATGCTAATAGGATGTAGAATTATGTGTAGGTGGAGCACGCCTAATTTTAGCACCAACAATACAGAACAACACTGTTGGAAATACATAAGAAAAAGGGTCTTTTATCAAATGGACTTCATGAAACAGTCTTAATTGAGGCTACTTATTCTTTAAGGAAATGTGCCTGATAATCTACCCAACTAATGGCTATTCAAATCAATACATCCTTATATTTACAGGTGTTACATATATATATATATCTTACTAGTACATCAAATCACCGGATTAGGCAATGGATTACAACTACAACAATATCAACTCACTAAATTAAATTAATTCCCCAGCTGAAATGTACATATAGCTCAGCATAGGTTGTAATGGCTTATTACTGTACCAACGGAAACCATATAATCAGGACATACTCTTCAGCTTTCGCACTTTAAGCAGAAACTGACAGAGCCTGTGATCACACTTATGAGATGGCTGCCGCCTAAATACCTGTAGTTTTTAAACCACCTCCTCTTGTCACAGCCTGTAAATGAAGTGTGCGTGTCGGAGGCAGGAGTGCTCAGTAAGTGCAGGGGGAGGAGTGGCTGTGTTTCAACAGAAGAGGACTGGAGGGCGCAGCACTCGGCACAGCTGTGAAACCCTAGGAGCCACAGTACCTCACGCTGAGAGCGGGCTTTGGGGCGACACCTCTCAGGGTCCTGCTCACCAGGGGCATCCCAGCTTGCTGCAGGGCATGGGTGCAGGCCAGCCTCAGCGTCTCGGGCGTTTCGGGGGTCCGGTGTGTCTCCAGCAGCCGACACCAGCGTTCTGTCAGGGAGTCCTCACAGCTGGAAGGGAGACAGAGCTCGCCATGTTTGAGACTGAAAGCAGAGCCAGATATTCAAACGTGTAACAAAGCAAACCATTAACACTCTCAAACCTTGTGTTAGTTACTAAGCACATCAAAGGCGCCGTGATCAAACTGTGGCAAATTCAAAGCAAAAGTCATCACACAGACAGAGCTCTTGTGCAGGGCAGATCACAGGCCTAGGAGGTTTTTTGAGATGTTAATCAAGAGCAACCCAGCCTCTCCAGAACTCCTGCAACAGGGCAGTGAGCGATCTGCTGCCTGGGAAGGAGACCCACCTCTGAGAGAGCAGCAGGCCTGCGGCGCAGAGCGCCTGTGAGCGAAGCTCAGGGCCGCCATCCTGGCTCTCCAGAAGGGCCAGCAGCAGCGCGGTGCTGGCCAGCGAGGCCGTCCGCCACGGAGGGAGAGCCTCAGGAGACGGGCTCTCAGCGCAGGAGGACATGACTGCGACGAAGGCCTCCAGGAAGGTCTTCTTGTACTCCGCGCTCCCCTTCATCAGCGTGGCCTGGAGGGCCTCCTGCACACAGAGCGACGACAGGCAGGTGATCCACAGGGACTGCACCTGACAGCGTCTGGACACACCCAGCCCCTTTTAATCCTTGTGTAATTCATGC